TATATATATGTGTTGTTGTTGTTAAGTGCCTTCGAGTCACTATGTTCCGATTCATAGCAACCTTGTATACAGTTTCTGAGGCTTTTTAAATCTTTGCAGGAGCAGAACGCCTCATCTTTCTCCTGCAGAGCGGCTGGTAGTCTCGAACCATGGACCTTGTGCTTCACAGTCCAGTGCTCATTGTATGGAGCCACCGTGTTCCACATATATATACACATATACAAGAGACAGACAGACCTAGGGAAACCACCATGTCAGTTTGTCGGATTGGGCTGGTGTGTGTGTTGCTGGTATTTCAGACACCAGCAGGGCCCCCCAGGATTTCCCCAGGGCTTCCAGACTGAGACCAATTAGTAAGAAAGGCCGGGAAATCTTCCAACCGTTAGCCAATGACAAGCCTCTGGATCCTAACAGAACACTGCCCCACACCGTCCGGTGGGATCCATCGCTGGCAGAAGACGTGACGCCTGGTGCAGTACAGGGGCAGTGAGGGTGAGGGGAACCCTGGTGGGCTGGACTGTGCTGGGGATGTGAGGTGATACAGGACAGGTACCATTCGGTTCTGTTGTCCATGAGGGCACCATGAGTAGGAACTGACTGCCTATCCATCCCTCCATCTCCATTTGGGGGAGAGTCCCTGAGTAGTACAATCAGTTCATATAGTCAGCTGCTAACCGAAAGGTCGGAGGTTTGGGTCTACCCAGAGACACCTCAAAAGAAAGGCCTGGTGATCTGCTTTAGAGAAAGCAGCCACTGAGAACCTTGCAAAGTACACTTCTAGTCTGATACACACAAGTCCCCATAGCAACTATGACACACACATATCTACACTGTTGTTGTTAAGGGCAGTCAAGTTGGTTAAGACTCACAGTGAACCTGTATAGGGTTTCCAAGGAGCGTCTGGTGGGTTTGAACCACCAACCTCATGCTTAGCAGGCCAGTGCTTCTCTTACAGGCCACACCAAGCCTCCTCAAGGAATATGGGAACATATGATTCCTTTCTTTGGATTAACCAGAGCACACCACCTTCTTACCTTTTCGATCAAATATAAAGCCCAGTGCCAGTAATTATGACAAGCCAGCATGTCCGAGTCCTGCGGAAAGAAGGAGCACAAGCTAATAGTCTGAGATCAAAACAAAATGGATGTACTTTAAAAAAAATGTGTGGTGAAGTCACATAACATGAAATGAACCATTTTAAAGTGAATGGCTAAGCGGCATTTAGTGCATTCACAATCTGTGTAAGCCCCCTCCCCCCAGGCCCAGAACATTCCACTGACAAGTGCTCCCCATCCCCCCTGCCCTAACCCCTGGCTACCACCAACCTACACTCTGTCTCTGTGGACTGACACTAAGGATAAACACTAGACTGCTAACCACAAGGTCAGTAGCTCAAATCCACCAACTACTCCTGGGAGAAAGATAAGGCTTTCTGCTCCCTTAAAGAGTAAGGAAGACATTAGTTGTATTTGTATAGTTGTATTATGGTATTGAAGGAGAATATTGAACGTACCATGGGCTGCCAAAAGAACCAACAGATCTGTGTTGGAAGAAGTGCAGCCAGAATGCTCCTTGGCGGCCAGGATGGCCAAACTTCGTCTTTCATACTTTGGACATATTATCAGGAGGGACCAGTTGCTAGAGAAGGACATCATGTTTGGTAAGGTGGAGGGTCAGAGAAAAAGAGGAAGACCCCCAATGAGATGGATTGGCCAAGTGGCAGCATCAGTGGGCTCAAGGATTGCAACGATTGTGAGATTGGCCCAGGACTGGGCAGTATTGCGCTCTGTTGTGCATAGGGTCGCCATGAATTAGAACTGACTCAATGACACCTAACAACACCACAACAGAGATTTACAGCCTCGGAAACCCCATACAGGCTCGCTGTGAGCTGGCACCGACTGGATGACAATGGGTTTGGGGTTTGGGGCTGGAGTTGCTCCTGACTTCTGTGTCCCTATGTGACGGAGCAGAACGCTCCCATTGGATTTTCTAACCCGTCATCTTTACGAGAGTAGATGGTCAAGTCTTCTCCAGAGGAGCTGCTAGGTGGGGTTGAACCACCAACCTTTCAGCTAACAGCCAAGTTAGCTTAACTATTAGTGCCACTAATGCTCCCGCTACTGAATGTTGTTGTTGTTATGTGCCGTAGAGTCAGTCCCAACTCACAGCGACCCAACACAGGGTTTCCAAGGCTGTAAATCTTTATGGGAGCAGAAAGACTCATCTTTCTCCTGCGATGTAGCTCTGGGTTAATATAAGAGGGAAGGAAAAGAACAGTTACTCAACACCTGCTCTGAGCAAAGGTGACTAGTAACACCTGGATTTACCAAGGAAGAAAGAGGCTGAGGCAGGTGGACACGTTGTTAGGCCCAGAGCAAGTGGACGTGCTGGCCTTACAAAGAGGAAGGTCTTTTGGCTCTTCAGCCCCATCTATCTTGGGATGAATAAAGATTCTGCACTGATCATGGACTCCCTGTGTGCCAAGCAATCAGGGCACTTGAACACGACTGGAAGGATCCAAGAACCACGGACTTGCAGGTGCTCATTAGGGATGCAGGCAGCAGCTACTGCTCTAGTCCAGTACAGTCCTGTCCAAGGGCCTGCCCCCAAAAGCCCTTCTGTTTTGGGTTGAGCTGTGTTCCCCAAAAGATAGGTTGACCAAGAAATAACTATTGGTCTCTACCCATCGGAGCACAAGAGAAAGAAAGAAACCAGTTTAGAGCATGAACAGCCTACACGAACCATCTCGGTCTCTTCTAAGCTGCGACCAGAAGAACTAGATGGTGCCTACCCACCACTACTAATCAGGGGACCCGAGAGGTAGAACCAGACAAAATGGGACGAATCCATTGAACCAACTCTTTTGAACAAAGTCTTCAAAAATCCGGGCTTACCAGACTAGCTGAGACTCGGAGACAATCGCCCTGAGCTACTCTTGAAACCTCAAACTGAAACTACTCTTGGAGGTCACCTTTTAGTGAAATCACAGAGTGGCCACACAGTCCAGGATGTCACCTGCGAGTGCCTTGCTTTACCGAGAAAAGATCAACGTTTACTCTAAAGCAAAAATGACAATAAAAGGGGGCAGGGCGAACGCAATGAAAAGAAAAAGTTGACTCACTGTGAAAAACACAACTAATATCACTGAACAAATTCGATAAAAATTGTAGAATGGGAACATAATTTGCTTTTTTTTTTTAAAGGATGCATTGAAGTCCTGATCCTGGTGCCTGCGACCCTGACTTTGTTTGGAAATGTCACCAGTTAAGTGACAACGAGGTCATCCTGGATGAGGGTGGGTCCTAATGACCGGTGTCCTCATCAGAGAGAAGAGACAGATGGACAGGCAGAGAGCAGATGGCCACGTGATGAGAGCTGGACTGATGTAGCCAGAAGCCAAGGTACGTCAAGGAAGGATCGTCCCCCAGAGCCTGTGAGGGAGCACGGCCCTGCCGCCATCTTGAATTTGAACATCTGGTCTCATGTGTCTGATGTTTGTGGTGGTCTGTCATGTAAGTTGGAGTGGACTCAGTCAGGCTCCAGGGTGGGTCCCCCTGGCTGGTGGCAGAAGCGGCAGCTCAGGCCCCTCCCAGCGTCACCACAGTCTGGTTCTTGCTTCCCTGGCAACTCGGTGGTCAATCAATTCCTTTACAACCCAACATCTGGAGGCCGACACCAATTCTATCACCACCTGCAGAATGTTGGCAGGTGGGGTGGGGAGGGGGCTGTAGCACGGAAGAAACACCTGCAGTGAAGTACTGTCCCCAAGGATGAAACTATCTATAACTCCTGTCCAAGGCCTCAGCCTAGCTCAAGGTGGCCCAGCCACAGAACTGTACCTTCCAGTTGGTTTCTGAGCGCTGCATGAATTCAAGTCCATCCTTGATTTCCGCTTTCATCTCGTGGATGTGGGCCACGGTGTGCACTGACCACGCGTCTGTTGGGGTAATAGACAAAGCCTACGGGGCGAGGGGTAAAAATGAGTGGCAATAACACAGATTAGTCAGGTGTCATGAGGACCACGGGGGAGATGTCAGGGATGGAATGAGCTTGAGGACTGGGCTCCACCTCATGACAGTAACCATCCAACATGAATAATAACTGTGCCAACAATCTCCAAACAACAACCACCCAACAATAACAATAGCAAACAATGACCATCGGGACATAATAGTAACAAAACAGTAACAGTCACACAATAACCATCTGAACAATAGCAGTAACAGACAATAGGTATCCCAACAGTAACAGTAACATGAACAAACCACAGGCAGCCAGCCAGCAGCCCGTCCACGGTGCCCAGGTACGCTGCAGTACTGTAGAAATCCACGGTAACCTGTTCAGCAACACGGCAACACACAGCCTCCACTGGCGGGCAGGTGGTGTCTGAGCATGAGGTCCACAAGCTGAGATCATAACCGGGGTCTCCCACTGAACCCACGATGCCCCTAACCACCAAGAGGGTGTCACTGCCCATTTCACAGATGAGGAAACTAAGACTCAGGGAGACCAAGTCAGTGCAGCCAAGTCACAAGGCCGGAGGCAGCAGAGCCAAGCCCTTGGGATCAACTGAATCACCTTCAACAACCCCCTCAGGTTCTCTGGGCTCCCACCTTCCCAGGGGCTGCCTCAGAGATGAGCGTGCAGACTGTCAGGAGCTCTGGTGACTTTTCCTGCTTCTTCCCACTAAGGTATCAGCAAGGACCACATGCGTGGTCAGAAAGAGCTGGTCCTGCCGTTGTTACTATTAGCAACAGCAGATGCTCACCTGCTGGGGTGCTGGTGGTGGTAGTGCAGCCCCTCAGGTAGGATCAGGAGGGGTTCCCACCTTGTGGAGGCATCATTCCCCAGTCACGTGCCCAGCACACACTGACCTCAAGCCTATCTCCAGTATCTACCCAGGGCCCCTCCACTTCACGTCTCCCCATACCACTCACAGAAGCAGTGTCTGGAAGCCCTCAGCTCCTCACCCTGGCCTGGCCCCTTCACCTGTCCTCCTGCCCCAACCCCTGCTCTGCAGGACTTGCTGAGACGGGTGGAGTGACCCAGATCTGCAGGGACAGGGAGCTCTGAGGAAGCGGCAGTGCACAGCTTGGCCACTGGGGGGCGCTGAGGCCCAGGGGTGTGGTTCCACACCAGTGAGGCTGGCCTTTACGTGCACAGAGGCCCTGTTTTGATCTTGGGCTAGCCTTTCGAAGTCCCTGAACTCCAAAGGTCCTAGCCGGGTTACAAGGCCCAGTGAGTCCAGGCTGGCCTACTCCCACCTTTGCCCTGGTGTCCTGCCCCACCCACCTGTGCCTTCAGCCTTAGCCACACAGACAGACCTGCCGCACCCTCTCCTGCTCACCTTCCACGCCCACTGTGCTCCCAGCCCTCACCCACTCAGGCACACCTGTCCAGAGCGCACACACCAGCCCCCACATGGTTGTTGGGCAGCTGTCCACACCACAGCTGACCAGTACAGCCCCTCGTGCTGCCTACCCCTGTGAGACCACCATCATCACCCGGAAGCCACCAACCACCATGGACAATAACACCGTTTGTCACGTGATTCATTGACCAGGTCACATGTCTGCAGTGCCACATGGCTCTGAGGACCATGGGAAAGCCATGGGATGACCAACACTGAACCCCAAACAAAGCCACTGCCATCCAAGTGACTTCTGACTCACAGCGACCCCTGTCTATAGAGGGTTTCTGAGACTGTAAATCTTTATGGGAGCACACAGCCGGTGGACTCACACTGTGACCCTAACCCACCATTGTTAATGGGGGCCCTCACGATAACTATGAGGAAAAGAGTTCCAGAGAAGCAAGGGACTTCTGGAGTCACAGGCAACACCTGATGGGGGGACCCTTGTGTCCTAAGTCCACCAGGACAGGGCAGCCCCTCCATGAAGGACTGGGAACCTCGGGGAGGGCCCACTCACCTCCTTGGCGAGCTTTTCTGCCTGATCGTAGAGGTTGGTTTCCATCAGTCCGAAAGAATAAATGCCTTTCACGTAGCTACAAAGAGAAGCCGGGAAAGACGTTGGTGTGGAGGGAGAAGTACCCTGTCTCCCTGTACTTAAGCAAGGCCTCAGATGCAAGGCACTTCTTGCGGATGATGCAGGATAGGGTCTCTATGAGGTAGAGCCCACTAAACGGCACCTGACCACCACCACCACCATCACCAGGGGCCACCCACTGTAACACATGTACCCTGAGAGGCTGGCACCACAAGAAACTGTGTCCTGGAGACAGGAGGGAGATGAGAGCTCGCTACAGTTTCTATGCAATTTTTCAGTAAAGCCTGAGAGTGTTGTAAAAAAAAAAAAATGAAGTCTAAAAAGATGACAGTTCAGATCTGTTAAAATCGATTATCAGCTAATGAATGAAAACGTTAGCCTGAGACTGTCCACAGCACAGCCGGGTGCTGGTCTTGAACCAGATATCTCCCTATCGACTCGAGGCTTCCACTAGAGAGGGATTGAAGCATTTCCAAGTCCAGTCTCTTTCTATGTAGGTTCCTCTGGGGTTCACGTCCCACATGTATGCATCTGGCACTGTAGGATAAGTACGGGACTGCTAACCATAAAGTTGGCAGTTCAAACCCACCAGTAGCTTCTTAGAAACTCTATATAGGGTCGCTCTGAGTCTAAACCGACCTGACAACACTTAACAACCATCACCTTCAAGGACAAGTGTTGAGGCCACCAGCTGCTCCAGAGGACAAAGATATGGCAGTCTGCCCCCATCAAGGTTTGACCTTGCACACTCTGTCCTATCGGTTGCTGTGAGTTGGAATAGAGTTGAGGACTGTGGGTTGTTTATTTTTTGGTGGGTCTTTAGAACCAGTGACCAGTCCAGGCCTCTACCTCCGAGCACACAGAGACGTGGCTTCCTGTCTCCTGAAGTCAAGTCATCATGGTGGGAGGCTGGCCAATCCCTTGAGAATGGGAGGATCTCTATTTCCCTGTGAGCACTGAATCATCACTGTGAGTCCGCCAATGATAAGGGATGGATGGATCCCTGGTGGCACAGTGGGTTGAGTGTTGGACTGCTAACCGTGAGGTCGGCAGTTCAAACCCACCAGCTGCTCTGTGGGAGAAAGATGAGTCTGTCCGCTGCTGTAAAGATTTAGTCTCAGAAACTAAGAAAAAGGTCTACTCTGTTCTGTAAAGTTACTATGAGTTGAAATGGATTTGATGGCAATGGGTACATGGGTTGGAACGGACTGGCAACTTGAAAGATGAGCTAGGAAGCTTAGGGCCAGTGAGTTTATGTGAGGGTGGGAGAGGCGACTCAAGAGAAAGCGAGAAATTCATCATCAGTGAACGGTCAGCGTCGTAGCTGCTGCGCTGGTGGACGTGGAAGCAAAACGGCTATGTATTTTCAATTCCAGCAACAAAATAAAAAAATCAATTATTTTGAAAATGAGAAATAGAAATGATGCAATTTCCAACCAGCGCATACCTGCTAAGGGGGATGTCAGGCGTCCAGAAGGGGTAAATTCGAGCAACAGAATCGCGCATCTGCTGCTGGTAGCCCAGGTAAAAGTAAGCATCATGGGAAAACTTCAAGGCCAGCATGTCTGTGGGATGGTTCCGGAGAATCTCTTCCCACAGATCACAGGCTTTCGGGAAGTTCCTGGAAACCAAAGAACACGTCTTAGCCACACTGGTCGCTCTGTCCACACGTACGGAGAGGCAGGGAGGCATCAAGTCTTACCAGTCGGTGGTTTGCACCGAATTGATTTGAAAAGCATCAGTTCGTAGGTTAGGTGGTAGGAGCCCTGGCACAGGGGGTCAGGTGTTCGACTCCTAACTGGAACGTTGGCAATTTGAACCCACCATTTACAATGTGGGAAAAGATAAGGCACGCAGTCCCAAGACTTATAGCCTTAGGATCCCTGTGGGGCAGTTCACCTCTGTCCTAGAGAGGGTGCCCCGTGTCGGAATCAACCTGCAGTTGCAGCTCAGGAAATTGAAAACCCAGTGGGAAATTTCACTCTCTGATTCAAGTAAAAAAAAAAAAATCCACAAAAATTGGTTTAACAAATTGCCAAACAATTTCACCTACAAACATGAGCCAGTTGCAGGAAGTCTCTGAGGTGGAATTACACACCAGCACGGACTTCCTGGCATTGGCTCACGGAACCTTCTCTGTCCCTGTTCCAGAACTGCTGGAAACTCAGATCGGGTCACTCGTCCCTGTGGGGACAACCACGGGGACAGGGGTGGGGAGGAGGACCTGGAAGAGGCTAACTGCTCAGAGTGGGCTGTCGGGGTAAGGAGCACACAGGAAGTGTTTTCTTTTCTAACCCATCTTTTAAATAATTCTGTGATTTTGCAATGGAAATAAGAACCAACTTTTCAACGGAGAAAAGATTGAAGTTGTCAAGGACTTCGTTCTTCTTAGATCAACTATCAACACTCGTGGAAGCAGCAGTCAAGAAATCAGACGATGTATTGCATTAGGCAAATCTGCTGCACAGGAACTTTTTAAAGTATTGAAGAGCAGAGATGTCAGCTTGAGGACTAAGGTGCGCCTGACCCAGGCCATGGTATTTTCAATAACCTCATATGGATGCGAAAGCTGGACAGTGAATAAGGAAGAACATAGAAGAATTGATGCCTTTGAATTGTGGTGTTGGAGGAGAATACTGAAAGTGCCATGGACTGCCAAAAGAACCAACAGATCTATTTTGGAAGAAGTGCAGCCAGATTGCTCCTTAGAGGCCAAGATGGCTAAACTTCGTCTCTCATACTTTGGCCATATTGTCATGAGGGAACAGTTGCTAGAGAAGGATGTCATGCTGGGTAAGATGGTGGGTCAGAGAAAAAGAGGAAGACCTCCAATGAGATGGAATGGCCAGGAGACAGCATCAGTGGACTCAAGTGTGGCAGCGATAGTGAGGTTGGCCCAGGATCAGACATTGTTTCGTTCTGCTGTGCATAGGGTCTCTATGAGTCGGTGCCGACTTGATGGCACCTAACAACATTGAATGAAACGGAAGAAAGTGCTTGAAAGGGTTAACTGGGCCCTGGCCAACAGCTTCCTCATTGAGAAGGCATCAGAGTAAGGTGACAGGCAGGAAGTGTCCCATGAGCTAGGAGGAGACCCCACCCGGCCCCCGTTCCACACCAGCACTCTCACCCCTTGGCAAACATCTCCACTGCAGACACGTGCAGCTGCTCCCGCTGTGTGAGCAGCTGGGTTTTCGAATTCTCCACCATCGTCTTCAGGGCCTCCGCCAGCTGTTGGTCCAGCCTCACAGAGGTCCCAGTGCCAATCAGCACAAGGCCATTGGAGATGACCTGGCCCATAGCTGGTGGGCGGGAAGGGGACAGCTGATGATTAGATGGCCCATGCCAGGTCCCCATGACATCAACACCCTATGTCCTAGGTGGTACAAGCTAAGTATAGAGGGACTGTGCCCCCTGCCAACAGCCCACCACAAGGCTTAGCCCTCACCATACATGGAGAGGGACACTCACCCCTCAAACATCGTGGAGCCCAGATATTTCCACAACAGGGTATGAATAGCACCTCCCCCTCCCCAGGTTAGAGTTGTCTTAGGGTTCCCCAGCCCCATGTCCACACCTCCCCCTCCCCAGGTGGACGGTTCGGGGCTGCCTGTGGGCTTGCTCTCAGTCTTGCCTTCCCTTATCAGCTACAGTTGTCACTGGGCGTGAATAGGGGCCCTCAGTGGATGCTGTTCAGGGTGGAACCCCCTGAGACCTTCCGGCATGTGTACTCTACCTGGGCTTCCGGGTCCCCCCAGGAGCAGAGGCAAAGTGCATGCTGGGGTTTGGAATTCAGCTGCTAGCCCATGAGCCAGGCCCCCCGCTTCTGACCTGGAACTTGGGGTCTGCTCAGAGCCTGTGTTACTGACTTTCCTACAGGCCACTCTGACCCGCCCCCTCCCATTAGTAAGAGCTCCTGGTGAACTTCTCCCTCAGCAGCAGGATGTGAAGGAGGGGTCCCTGCTTCCCAGTCCACCTCATCAGTCCTTCTCCGAGGCCCAAAGCTCACCTCACATGGGAGTCACTAATGCACCAAGCTACCTCCCCATGCCCACTGCCCACTGTCCACCTGCTGACCTCCCCATGCCCACCGCCCACCTACTCAGCCACCAGCCTCTGTGGCTGGTGGGTCTTCCCTGGCTCAGCCCAACTGAGTCTATGAAGTCAGGGAACAAGAGAGGGGCTGGACCCCTGACCCAGGAAAACCGAGACTCACTGAAGGTCGGGTCTGCTTCTTTGAGCTTCGCTAGGCAGCCTTCAAGGCCACCAAGATTCTTGTCATTGGTCCACTTGACATACTGAAGGGGAAAAAAAAAAGGCCAACACAGCTGTCCTCAGGGAGGCCTTGGTTTCTGTTAATGAAGACAGGTAACCGAACCTAGACTTTGCTTCCTTTCTAGAGCACTGAATACTTTCTGGATTTTACCACCACCCCCACCACCACCCCACCCCACCCCCGTCCCAAAGAATGTATAACTTGGTTGAGTTCTTATGAAAAGGTGAAATGCATTCATAGAGTGTGAAGCGTAATTTCAAAGGAATGAAACATCAAAAGGAAAGTGAGGTACTTCACAACATCAGCTTTAGTTGTCTACCCTAATGAAACAACAACCACACAATGTTGGCCGAATGTTTCAGGAAGACGTCGCCTCACAACAACAACCACACAATGTTGGCCGAATGTTTCAGGAAGACGTCGCCTCACAACAACAACCACACAATGTTGGCCGAATGTTTCAGGAAGACGAGGTCTGAATGGGAGAAAGAATCACCTGAACACCCGTGATATTAGAGGAAGAAGCTTTTACTGCCTGTGGAGCAGCGGTGGACGAATGTCCCAAAGAAACCAAGGTCCCCCAAACAGCTTTCTCATTAGCTTTATGTAGGATTACAGAGGACTCAGTGGGGAGACTACCCTGTTACTTTCTCATTGGCGGTTCCTAGAGAAGAGGGTTTTTTGTTTTGTTTTGTTTTGTTTTTAACAAAAGCAGAAGAAGCTGTTAGTTTTCTTTGTGTAATGTGATCTGCAAATTTCAAGAAACTGTAACTTTGCGGAGTTATCAGAACTCAGGGCTAGGTCTCAAGGTTCTATGGGCACAGGGCCTCCTCCCTCAATACAATCTTGGCTTCACAACGTCAGCCTCACAACATCAGCTACACAACGACCACATAATCTTGGCTTCACAACAACAGCCTCGTTATGTCAACCTCATAACAATGGCCATACAACATCGGCTTCACCATAATGGCCACACAACGTCAGCCTCGTAATTTCAGCCTCACAACAATGGCCACACAACGTTGGCCTTACAACAATGACTTCACACTTCCTCGGCCCTTCCCTCACCCATCTGTCAGCATGGCAGACTGTGTTGGCTTGTGTGTGGCCGTGCTGCTGGATGCTATTTCAGATATCAGTACGGTCATCCCTGCCGGACAGGTTTCAGCAGAGCTTCCAGACCAACACTGACGAGATACAAGGACATGGCAATCTACTGCTGAAAAAAAGGGACAAGTGGCTGCAACCATGGGCTCCACCCCAGGAACGATGGTGAGGATGGTAAAGGTGCTGTGATTTGTGTTGTTGTACATGTGATTGCTATGAGTAGGAACCAACTCGAAGGGCTCTTGAAACCAGGGTCACTGCAGGAACTGATTGAAATGACTCCCCCTGAAAAGGTATGTCCAAGTCTTAACTCCTGGCACCCGGAAACGTGGCCTTGTTAGGAAACAGGGTCTTGACAGGTGTTTTCTGATAGCATGAGGCCAGGCTGGAGTGGGCGGGACCTGGTCCCATCTGAGGGGTGTGGTTTTAAAAGGAACCAGAGGCACAGTGATGAAGTCACTCAGGAAAGACGCCATTGAAGATGTACCTCCATGCCAAGGAAGGCCCAGAAATGCTGGGGACTACAGAAACTGCAAAGTCCTGGTGTGGTGCTGTAGGATCATCACTGGACTGCCAACCACAAGGTTGGCTGTTCAAACCCACCAGCCACTCCTTGGAAACCCTGTATAGGGCCTCTATCAGTCCGAACCAACTCAATGGCAATTAAGAACAACAGAAGCAGAAGAGTCCTGGTGTGGCACTGTAGGATAAGCACTGGACTGCTACCCAAAAGACTGTCAGTTCAAACTCACCAGCCACTCCTTGGAAACCCTATACCTACAGGGTCGCTACGAGTCAAAACTGACTCGAAGACACTTAACAAAAACAACAATGAATGTAATGAAACAAGTATGGCCCCGTGGATGCTCGGAACCCAAACTCTCAGGCGGATGTCTGTGCTTATAATCCCCTCAGTTTAGACGGTTTCTTATAGCAATCCTGGAAAATAAGCACACTATTTCTTACCCATTCCTCCGTAAACACAACCATAACAGACATCCTGGTGTGGCACTGTAGAATAAACTAGACTACAGGTCAAAACCTTGGAAGCCTTATCTATACAAGGTCGATATGAGTTGGAACCGATTCAACAGCACTTTACAGCAACATAGACCACTAAGGGAACACAGTGGCTCTGTAGGATAAGCATGGGACTGGGAACCACAAGGTCAATGGTTTGAGGCCACCAGCCACTCCATGGGAGAACGATGAGGCGTTCTGCTCCAGCAAAGACTAACAGCCTTGGAAACCCTATGCCGGGTCACTATGAGCCAAGCCGACTCGACAGCACTTAACAACAACAACATAGAATATTAGAAAGAGGCACAAAAGCTGAAAGACAGAACCCTTAATCTCACTATTTTTGACAAATTTGCTATTACAGTGAAACCCAAGAGCCGGAACTTGTCAGAACTGCCTTGTTTTTCTGGGTCTTGCAAACTTATCTGGGTCTGAGCCTTTGACCAGGTGCCATTCGATCAATTTTCTATTGTTCCTTTCAGTGGAAAATATTTGCGTTTTCCTTCTCTGCCTTACACAGGTCCCAGCTTTCACAGATTTTATAGTATTTGTTTCTCGTTCTTCTTTTTTGAAAATTAAAGTTTGTGTGAAAGTGTACAGAGCCAATTAGTTTTCCATTCAACAATTCACACACATGCTGTTTCACGACATTGGTTGCAATCTCTTCAGTGCACAACATTCTTCCTGCTTTGCCCCTAGGCTCCCCGTTTTCATTCGTCTCTCTTTCCTGCTCCTTCGTGTCTTCTGCCTTCTGTGCTTTCTTTTTGGGTATATGTTGCCTTTGTCTTCTTACACAGTTGATTGTTCTGAGGACTGTGTTCCTCCCTGGTGTTATTATTCACTTTATGTGTTGTTGTTAAGTCCTGTCAAGTTGGTCCCTGCATAGGACTTCTGAGGAGCAGATGGTGGGTTTGAACCCCCGCCCCCTGTGGTTCACAGTCCAATGCTGATCCTACAGCGCCACACCAGGATGGGCCTGTCTGCTGTTCATCTTAAAGTCAATCCCTGGGTGGGGGATTCAGTTCCGGCCTTGAAGAGGGTTCTACCAGTGTCTATCAGAGCAGTAAGTCTGGTCTTTTTAATGTTTGGAACTTTGATCCACCTCTCTTTTTCTTCATCTTCATCCAGGACATTTTGTGATCCTGATCAGAGCAGTTGTATTGTTTGCCAGGTCCCATCTGGTTCTTATTGTCTCAGGATCCTAGAGGCTGAGGTTCATGTGGTGTGGCACTACAGGATAAACACTACAATATAACCACAAGGTTGGTGGTTCAAACCCACCAGCTGCTCCTTGGAAACCCTATACAGTGTCATTATGAATTGGAACTGACTCGATGGCACTAAACAATAACATTAATCCACCAGGCTAATTGTTTCCCTGAGTCTTTGACTTTCTTTACTCCTCTTTGCTCCAGACAAAGAGAGAGAACCCCGTAGTTGCATCTTGCATGGCTTCTTGCAAGCTTTTAAGACCCCAGTCACTGTTCACCAGCGTATAATGTCCAACACTGTGGACTATGTTATGACAATTGATCTACTTGTCCCCTGACACTGTGTTCTCAAGCCCGGTGAGTCATTCCCTCAAGGTGTCTGTTTATGACTAAGAAGCTTCCAGACCTTTGTCCCCTGTATCCTCTACCATACTCTTGGATATATTTACACCACATACAAATACATACACAGAAATATTCTCTGTCAAACCTACATATACTTGTCAGTGTACATCGTTTACCTTCTCACATCTGTTCAGTTTGCTTGTGTACCTATGCATCTACTCATAGATGATGTTTGTGATTACTATTATTGCAAGATTATGCATGAATTAAAAAATGGCTGCAACAATACATTGACAAGGAACTGAGAGAGGTTTAGCCGGATTCAGATGAGGACATGGAATGGGGGATATCATTGCTGACGTCAGATGGATCTTGGCTGAAAGTAGAGAATATCAGAAAGATGTTTGTGTTTTACTGATTACACAAAGGCTTTCGATTGTGTGGACCATGATAAGCTATGGACAACATTGCTGAGAATGAATATTCTGGAACACTTAATTGTTCTCATGAGGAACCTGTATATAGACCAAGAGGTAGTCTTTTAAACAGAACAAGGGGGACATTGAATGGCTTAAAATTAAGAGAGGTGTGCACCAGGGTTGTATTCTTTTACCATACTTATTCAATCTGAATGCCGAGCAAACCACCCAAGAAGCTAGATTATACGAAGAAGAACGTGGCATTAGGATTGGAGGAAGACTCATTATCAACCTGTGGTATGCAGATGATACAACCTTGCTTGCTGGAAATGGAGAGGACTTAAAATACGGATTAGTGAAGATCAAATACCCCAGCCTTGGGTAGGGGTTGCACCTCAGTGTAAATAAAACAAAAATCCTTACCACTGAACCGATAAATGGAGAAAAGATTGAACTTGCCAAAGAATTCATTTTGTGCCTATAAACCATCAACACTCATGGAACAACATACTGTATTAAACAATATGTCTAAGGCATCAAATCGATTCTTGAGATGATCTCTAAATTCAGGTGAGTGTGTTCAAGTTCATATTTTGGCTCTTGTGGACTTGTTTTGATGTTCTTCAGCTTCAGCCTGAACTTGCAGATGTAGTTAGTGATACTAGTAATCATCAAAGAATGTGTGTAAACCTTATCTTGACTTTTCACAATAGTTACCTCATACAATACTTGTCCTTCTGAGATGGATTTATTTCACTCGGCACAATGCCTTCCAGGTGATGAGGTGATTGGAGAATTCTTCGTCATTCTTTAACACTGCCTAGTCCATTGTGTGGGTATACCAGAGTGGATCCTTTCATAGGCTGAAGGGCGTCTAGGTTGCTTCCATCTATTTACTACTGCGAATAGTACACGATGCTGCTGTGTGTACCGTCAAGTCGGTTCCAACTTCTATGGACCTGATACAGGGTTTCCGAGACTGTCAGTCTTTGTTGTTGTTGTTAAGTGCCATCGAGTCGGTTCCGACCCATAGCGACCCTGTACAGGGTTTCCGAGGGTGTAAATCTTTACGGGAGTAGAAAGCCTCATCTTTCTCCCGCGGAGCGGCTGGTAGTTTCGAACCGCTGACCTTTCAGTTAGCAACCCAGCTAATGCCCTACTATGCTGTGCATATATCTATTCATGTCACGATTCTTATTTCTGTAGGATATATACTTAGTAGTGGGGTTGCTGGCTCATATGGTATTTCTATTTATAACATTGTAAGGACGTTTCACGCTGGTTTCCACAGCAGTTGTACCATTTTGCAATCCCATCAAACAGTGTATGAGGATTCCAATCTCCCAACCCCCTCACCAGCATTTGCTGCTTTTGTCTTTCTAAATTGTGTTGTTATTGTTGGTCTCATACATTTCAAACATGTATATACATTTTTTAAAAACCCTAACACCATAATGTTGTGTTGTTGTAAAGTGTCGCTGAGTCTGCTCTGACTCATAGTGACCCTGTATAGGGTTTCCAAGGAGCGACTGGTGTGTTTGAACCACTGGCCTTATGGTTGGTTAGTAGTCCCAGTGTTTATCCTACAGTATCACACCAAGACTTCACAATAAGGCCTAGGATTGTAAAATGTGTGTTTTCAGTTGTACGAGCTACACCCAAACAAAATGAGTAGGTGTAGGTTAAAGTAAGGGTGAGCTGGCACAGAGACTCCAAAAACCCATGTTCTAATGTAACATGAGATGACAACAGAGACAGATACATGGGACACAAGATGCCACCAAACTGAGGCTGGCGCTGTGGAACACACCCATCTGTTGGCATTGAGTCGATTCTGATGCCTAGCAACCCTGCAGGGCAGAGCAGAACCACTGCCGCCATACACAGTTCCCTAGCTGCAGTCTTTATGGGACCAGTCAGCCACTTTCTCCCGTGTAGCAGCTGGTGGATTTGAACTGCTGACCTTCTAGTTAGTAGCTGAGTGCTTAACCACACCACCAGGGCTCCATGGGAAACATCAAGTGCTTCACAAAGGCTCACCACTTCTCTTGGTAGGCATACCTGAGTCAGGGTGGCATCAAACAGCTTGCAGGCCTCGTTGCTTGTGGTGGAGAGCGGTAGACCAGCATCCTTCCACGCCTAGAAGGAACAACACGGAGCAAGGCTTTGCTTATTTCATGTGGCTATTTCAAATACGTGGTTGTTAGGTACTGTTGAGTCAGTTCAGATCCCTAACAACCCTATGAACCACAGAATGAAACACTGCCCAGCCTTGTTGTACCTTTCAAACACAAACACAGGCAGATCCCAACCCACCATTCCCCCATGTCCTCATCCTCGACCTCCAAATGCCTAACATTCACGCAGATTCGGGTTTCAGGTCAATGAGACCTGTGGGGTGCATCCTGGACCCCAGATTTCACAGCCACATTGCAAACAAGAAAGAGGGGTGTGCTGAGGGCGCAGATCTCAGTTCAAATCCTGGCCACCTCAAAAGCTCAGCTCCTGACCGCCCCTCTGTAAAATGGGGCTCATGAGTAAGGAATGAGGTGACGGTGGGCATCTGCCTGAGGAAGAGCCCCTGAGGGGAGGGATTTCACCTCTTGGACACTGAGGAAGTCGATGGTGGGGAAAAGGGCAGGTGGGAAGCTGGCTCTTCCAGGCCACACTCCGCAAAGTGCACACTAGCTACATCCGTCAAAATAAATTCCTCTAACGTCCCTACCAGCCGCTCCTTGGAAACCCTATACAGGGTTCCTGTTAGGGTGAGGGAAAAGGAGGGATATTACTGAGGAAAATTACTGGAGCAGTGGAAAAGCAGCATTTGGGAAAAATCAATAAGACCATAAAATAAATTTCCAATACAAAGAACAGAGGAGCAGGATGTGAACAGGAGATAGAATCTATCTCCTTGTCAAGAGCCCCATAACCCACTAGAAGTTTTATCTCCATGGTGAGGGGTTCAAGTCCCCAAGACCCACTGGAAGATGTCTCTTTTATAAAGGATATAAAACTTTTTTAAAAATTACCTCCTTGTGTGACCAAAACCCAGCAGGGCTTGCGAATCCTCCCTCCCTATTCAACTACCCAGTGGGGCTGTTAACCAACAGCTACACATTAACTTCCACTTAACTAGTTTTCAGTGCAGGTACAAAGCAGGTTAAGTCAAGTATCCCAGACGCCTCTGCAGCAGAATCCATCTTGACATTTTAGACTGCATCACTGAGGCCAGATGTGCGCACAATATGGCAAAAAGGAAACATGGAATTGACACACTCGAGTGGAACCACACAAGTAGGAACGCCCACCTCCTTCTTGATAGCAAAAGAACTGCCATTGTAGAAAAACCCTCACTCTATAAATACATGTTGGAGTCCTGGTGTGGCGTAGGATAAGCAATCGATCACAAGGTCAGTTTGAACTGCAAGGTCGGAGGTTCAAACTCACCAACGGATCCTTGGAAATCTTTTACATGGTTGTTATGGGTATGAACCACCTCATCAACTTTAACAACAACAAATAATTACATGTCATGGTGTAAGTATGGGGAGATGATTTTCTTTGGCACATCTCCCCTGCAAGTATTCTTTCTCTAATAAACCTGAGGGTGTGGTGCTGTGGGTTAATGCGCCAGACTGCAAAGCCTCTTGAACTGCAAGGTCGGCGGTTCAAGCTCACCAGCTGCTCCTTGGAAACCCTACACAGGGTCACTATGGGTTGGAACCAACTCGACGGCACTTCACAACAACATACTCTATTTCATGACTTTCTTAGTCTTCTGTAACCTAACCTGGTAACACGACTATGAGTTGGAACCGAGTTGAGGGCACTAACAACAACCATCTCTCCACCTTAGTGGACTGACTCAGACTTCAAGCCTGGCATGGGAACATTTGAAGATGGTCAGAGTTGCTCAATGTCATGGACGCCTTGGCATCCGGCCAGAGGTCCTCTGCAGAATGGCGCAGCTGCTGCCCACTGGGATTGAGTATTGATCGTGTGGCCGGGGCAAGTCCCCTCGCCCCTCTAGCCTCCGTCTTCCTCATCGGAAGCGGTTCTGGGAGGTTGACGCAGGAGAGTTGAGCTCTCACAGATGCCCATGGCTCTGTTTCCAGGCCATGGTCACTGAGCGGAGCTTCTAAGTGGTCCTGCGATTTCCCGGTGGGGTCCACTGAAAGTTCTCTGTCCTGACCCGCCACCGGATCCCTTTGGTGCGCATACTAGGGGGCGCCCAGGCGCCCAGATCAGAACCTAGAGCCTCGCTGTGCGCTCCCGGCTACTGCGCGCCCCAGTCAGACCCTCAGCCCCCGTCCCAGGTCTGACCTCGGGGCGCGCAGGGCTTCGCGTACCTGGCAGTCTCGTAGCGACGCAGGCGCTGCCATGGCGCAGTAAAAGGTCTCGGGCTCCCTCTGGGGCGCCGCGGCGGCCTTCCGGTGGCGCTGATCCATGGGGCGTGGCGGCCGAGGCCGCTCGCTCACTGGTCGGGCTCCAGCGAACCGTCCGCGGCCCTGGCTACTGGCCCGCCCCGAACCCGGGCGGCAGGACGACGCGGGGCTGTAACTCCATAGGGCTCGTGGGCTCATCTCTAGGCGTTGCAGGGTCCCGGGCCGGGTTTGCTTCCCCTATCAGGTTAGGACCCTGGGCGGGAGGCTCAGTCTGCGAACTGAGGAGCCTGTGAGTGTACGCGGCGGGGGGCCGCTCCTACTGCTTTGATCTTGCACCCCTCCTCCCATCTTGCAGGGGACTTTTTAGTCTCCGTGGGAGGCGTCCACTGTAGAATCTATAGGTGGCCGGGAACCCTGGGGCAGTGGTCACTTTAAGCCTCACACACATTCGCAGAGAGTTTTTGACCAACATCTCATGTGTTCTTTAAAAGTGTTCAAAAGCAAAGATGTCAGTTTGAGGACTAAGGTGCGTCTGACCCAAGCCATGGTATTTTCAATAATCCCACCCCAAGAATTGAAAGTAGAACTCAAAAAATTAAAAAAAAACTCAACAGTTTATACATGAATGTTCCGAGCCGCACTATGCACAAATGTGAAAAGGTGGAAATAACCCAGATGTCCATCAGCGAATGAATGGATCAACGAAATGTGCTTTACTGAGACAGTGCTGTCTTCTATCACCGTAGAAAGGAATGAAGTCCTACTGGAGGGGCCTTGAAACACGATGTTGAGGGAAGGAAACCTTTTCACAGAAGAACATCATAGTGTACGATTTCTTTGCATGAAATGCCCGGAATAAGCAAATCTGTGGATTAATGCTCTGGACTGCAAAGTCGGTTTGAACTGCTAGGTCCGCAATTGAAACTCATCAGTTGCTCTTTGGTAACCCTAAGGAGGATCACTCTGGGTCCGAATCGACTTGAAGGCACTTCACCAACACAGAGACAGAAAGTAGATTGGCCATTTCCTGGGGCTGGGGCCAAGGGAAGATGCTCTGGTGGCACAGTGGCTAAGCACTCGGCTGTTAACTGGAAGGTTTGAACCCACCAACCTGTGTGGGAGAAAGATGTGGCTGTCTACCCCTACACAGAAGACAGCCTTAGAAACCCTATGGGGCAGTTCCACCTAGAGAGTGACGATGTGTTTAAATCTACCGATTGCAGTACGGCTGGTTTGGGGTGGATGGGGACAGAGGGTGTGGGGACTCTCCTTTTAGGGGGATGAAAATGTTTTGGAACTAAAGAGTTGTGGTTGCTCATTACGAATCCACCAGTCGTCTGTCGGTTTGTCGCACTGGGGTGGCGTGTGTGTTACTGTGATGCTCAAAGAAAGCTCTGCCACTGGTATTTTAAATACCAGCAGGGTCACCCATGGTGAACAGGTTTCCGCTGAGCTTCCAGAGGAAGACAGACTAGGAAGGAGGAGAGGTGGACTAATTCTGAATGTTTAGCCGCTGAAACCCTTATGCATAGCAGTGGAACACTGTCAGACAGCAAGGTGGGCGCAGAGCACCTTGGTTGTGCATAGTGTTCCTATGAGTTGGAACTGACTCAACAGCACGTCACATCTCACAACATTGCAAATGGGCTAAATGCCACTAAGTTGTTCACTTTAAAATGGCTGATTTCATACTGTAGGAACTTTACCTCTGTAAAGCAAACATGATTTGTCTGAATGAATGAGTTTTTGGTACCCCACCTCCTTAAACTTTGTGTCTGAGGGCACTGTCTGCCTGCATCCCAGTCCAGTGTAAACTGATACATCCATTTGTCTGGTAAAGGGGAAGATGCCAGCATCCCTAAGCTATACCCTTCCACTCCGGCAGGATAGAGAAATCTGCTGCCGGAGAGTCGATTCCAGCTCATAGCGACCTGTAAGGCAGAGCCAAACTGTCCCATAGGGGTTCCAAGGATGTGTCATCTGTATGGGAGCAGATCGCCTCATCTTTCTCCCCGGAGTAGCTGCTGGATTCCAACCACCGACCTTTCACTTAGCAGCGGAGCACTTGACCAGTGAATCACCAGAAGGCCTTAAAAGGCCAAGAGAAAACTGTGGTTGCCAAGGAGACCGCCCATAGTAGCTGATGAGGCCAAGTCACCCTTGCAGGGCACTGTGGGTGAGCTTTGCCCAGCACCTTCTCTGGATACAAAAGGGTGCAGATTAAGAGGTGGCCGGAAAAATAGTCTCTGGGGTTTACTAGGGAGCTAACAGGATCAGACAATGCTCAGGGCACAGCTGTTCCAGTCAGCTGCTGATAAATGCCTGCAGGACCCACCGCTCCACTGTGAACCTCAGCCTGAAGGCACTCGGCTCTAGATCCGTGGGTCAGCAAGCCTAGCTTCCTCATTTCAGTGCCTGGAGGCACTGACTCTTCAAGCAATCTTCCTGCCCAGAGTCACTCAGCTTTACTTGCTCCATGGGCTGCGGAGCCCACCGCTCCGTCTCATGCTCTGGTTCTTGGTTCTACTGCTGCCCCTCTTCTGGTGTCCTAGCTTTTTGACCCTGGATCTAGGAGAGTCAATGTGCAAGGATCTCAGGGTCCAAAGGGCATGCTCTACTCCTGGCTCCTCTTCTTGGATGGAAGAGTTAAATTTCTGAAGAGACAGATAAGAGTTCATAGTGACGTTACTTGTAATGGCAAAACATACACCACTAGCTTAACTTCCATCAGTAGGTAGACAGATAGATAGTATGTCATTGTGGGTTATGCGTTGGGCTGCTAATAGAAAGGTCAGCAGTTCGAACCCACCAGCCACTCCTAGAGAGAAAGGTGAGGCAGTCTACTTATGGAACAATTTACAGCCTCAGAAACCCTATGGGGCAGTTCTACTCTGTTCTCTAGAGTTGCTATGAGTCAGGATAACTCCATGGCAGTGGGCTGGGGTTGGGTTTGGTAACAGTATGTTGCAAGGATCCTTTGTGGCACAGTGCTTACACACTCAGTTGCTAACTGAATGATCTGTGTTTCAAATCCACCAGCCCCTCTGAGGCAGAATGATGGGGCAGTTTGCTTCGGTAAAGATTTACAGCCTTGGAAACCCTCTGTGGCAGTGAGGGATAGATTCCATAGCAAAGGGGTTAGTTTGTCTACCTTTTATAGTATATTCCCTACTAAAATATCATGCAGTTGTGAAAATGAATGAACTCAAGCTACCTGAGTCAAGCTGATTCTCACAAATACAGTTTGTAGAAGAACATGCGCAATATGATATTGTTGTTGGATGCCATTGAGTTCGTTCCGATTTATGGCAACTTCAAGTCCAACAGAACAAAACACTGCCCGGTCCTGCGCCAACCTCACAATTGTTACGTCTGAGCCCATGGTTGCTGCCGCTGTCAATCCATCTCATTGAGGGTCTTCCTCTTTTTTGCAGACTCGCTGCTGTACTCAGCACGAGTTCCTTCTCTAGGGTCTGGCTCCCCCTGAGAACGTGTCCAAAGTACGTGAGACCAAGTCTTCCCATCCTGGATTCTGAAGAGCATTCTGGTTGTACTTCTTGTAAGACAGGTATATTCATTCTTCTGGTTTTTGGTGCTAAGTGTCATTGAGTCGGGATCCGACTCATAGCGACCCTGTACAGGGTTTCCAAGGAGCAGCTGGTGACTTGGAATTGCTGGCCTTAACGGCTCAAACCTACATTGCAGTTTACCGCATTAACCGGGAGCGCCACACCAGGTTTTTTCTGGTAGTCCTTGATATATTCAATATCCGTTACCAGCACCATCATTCAAAGCATCAGTGCTTCTTAGAGCTTCCTTTATCGTCCAGCTTTCATGTCCACAGGAGATGGCTGAAAGCACCATGACTCGGGCCAGCCACACCCTAGGCCTCAAAGTGACATCTTTACTCTTGAATACTTTCAAGAGGTCTTTTGCAGCAGATTTGCGCAGTGCAATAGGTCATTTGATAGCTTGACTGTTGCTTCCGTAGGCACTGATTGTTGATCCAAATAAAATCAAACCCTTGACAACTTTACAGTTTTCACCATTTATCGTGGTGGAACTTAGTGGTTCAGTTGTGAGAGTTTTGTTTTCTTGATGTTGAGGTAGTCTTTGATCTTCATCAATAAGTGCTTCAAGTCTTCTTTGCTTTCAGCAAGAAAGTTGTGGCATGCATATCACAGGTTGTTAATGAGTTTCCCTCCAACCCTAATGCCACATTCTTCTTCATGTAGTCCAGAACTTATATCTTATTTGCTCAGTATACACCATCACTAGTCTGTCACTTTGTCTTACTGTGGTGGCTTGTGTATTGTTCTGATGCACTAAGCTATTCCACTGGTATTTTAAATACCAGTGCCCAACAATGGAAGACAGGATAAACAAACCTCGGTGCATATACACAACACAATACTATGCAATGCTGAAGAGTACCAATGAATTAGTAAAACAACTCATAGCTTGAATAAACCTGGAGGACATTATACTGAGTGAAATTAGTCGATCACAAACAGAAAAATATTGTATGAGACCCTTATCTCAAAAGCTTAAGAAAAGGTTTCTAGACTGATCCGTCTGTCTAAGATGCCAAAGGAAACAAGGGGAAGGGGAAGAAGGCGCAGATGCCTGCTGTTGCCAAGAAGGTGGTGAATCTCCTGTTTGAGAAAAGGCCCAAGAACTTTGGCATCAGACAGGACATCCAGCCTAAAAGGGACCTCATCCGCTTTGTCAAATGGCCCCATTACATCTGACTGTAGTGGCAACCGGCTGTCCTCTACACGTGGCTGAAAGTGTCCCCTGCCATTAGCCAGTTCACACAGGCCATGGACTGCCAGACGGCCGCTGAAGCTGGCCTGGAGACAAAGCAGGAGAATATAATATATAATATAATATATGTAATAATGTATATATATTTAGATAATATTTAAAATATAGTGGTGGTGATGGTGATTATGTGCTGTGGAGTCAGTTCCGACTCAAAGCGACCCTGTACAGGGTTTCCGAGGCTGTAAACCTTTACGGGAGCAGAAAGCCTCATCTTTCTCCCACAAAACAGCTGGTAGTTTCAAACTGCTGACCTTGTGGTTCGCAGCCCAATTCATAACCACTATGCTACCAGAGCTCCTTATTTTATATAGTGGTGGTAATATATATATAGTGGTGGTGGTGGTTATGTGCTGTGGAATTGGTTCTGGCTTATAGCAACCCTGTACAGGGTTTCTGAGGCTGTATGTAAATCTTTACGGGAGCAGAAAGCCTCAATACTTTCTCCCACGGAACTGCTGGTAGTTTCAAACTGTTGATCATGAGATTAGCAGCCTGACTTGTAACCATATGCTACCAGAGCTATATATATATGTTGTTGTTGTTGTGATGTGCCGTCGAGTCGGTTCTGACTCATAGCGACCCTGTACAGGGTTTCTGAGGCTGTAAATCTTTACGGGAGCAGAAAGCCTCGTCTGTCTCCTGCGAAACAGCTGATAGTTTCGAACCGCTGACTGTGAGGTTAGCAGCCCGATTTATAACCACTATGCTACCAGAGCTCTCTCTCTCTCTCTCTCTCTCTATCTATCTATCTATCTATATATATATATATGATGTTGTTGTTGTTGTTAGGTGCATTGAGTTGGTACCGACTCATAGTGACCTTATGCACAATAGAACGAAACACTGCCCAATCCTCGGCCAACCTTACTATTATTGACACGCTTGAGTCCATCGATGCTGCCATTTGGCCAATCCATCTTGTTGGGGGTCTTCCTCTTTTTCTCTGACCCTCCACCTTACCAAATATGATATCCTTCTCCAGTGACTGGTCCCTCCTGATAATACATCCAAAGTATGAGAGACCAAGCTTGGCCATCTTGGCCTCCAAGGAGAACTCTGGCTGCACTTCTTCCAACACAGATCTATTGGTTCTTTTGGCAGCCCATGGCACTTTCAATATTCTCCTCCAACACCATAACTCAAAAGCATCAATTCTTCTATGGTCTTCCTTATTCACTGTCCAGTTTTCACATGCGTATGAGGTTATTGAAAATACCATGGCTTGGGTCAGGCACATTAGTCCTCAAGCTGGCATCTGTACTCTTCAACACTTTGAAAAGTTCCTGTGCAGCAGATTTGCTTAATGCAATATGTCATCTGATTTCTTGACTGCTGCTTCCTTGAGTGTTGATAGTTGATCCAAGAAGAATGAAGTCCTTGACAACTTCAATCCTTTCTCCACTGATAAGAATGTTGTTTATTGGTCCAGTGGTGAGGATTTTTGTTTTCTTTACATAGAGATGTAATCCATACCGAAGGCTGTGCTCTTTGATCTTCATCAGTAAATGTTTGAAGTCCTCTTCACTTTCAGCAAGCATGGTTGTATCATCTGCATATCACAGGTTGTTAATGAGTTTTCCTCCAATCCTGATGCCACATTTTTCTTCATATAACCCAGTTTCTCGGATTATTTGCTATTATATGTATGTATGTATACATTTATATGTCCCACAGATATACAAGAGTGTGAGAGAGGGTATTGGTACATGAATATTTACTTTTCTTGCAAACACACTATTAATGCGGTGGTGCATATAGCAGGCAAAATGATGAAAATTTATTAGATATTCATTATCAAACATCTTAAGGCAATGAGTAACTGAACCTGGGGATTCAGGACCATAATCTCTGGGGACATCATGGTCAACTGGCACAAACATATGACACAAAAGCAATGTTCTACCTCTTACTTTGGTGTAAAGCTCATTAGCAGCTCTCTAAGGTGCAGCTATTGGTCTCTCCATGTGCAGAAGAAAGAAGAGTGGTGAGAATTGAAGATGCTTGGAATCAACTGGTCCAATGGGCTAACGGAGCAGATGAACATCTGTCTCCAAGACTCTGAGAACAGAAGAAGATGGTGCCTAGTTACCACTACCAACTGCTCTGAATGGGATCACATTAGCCCATCCTGGATAGAGTGGTATAATGTGTGGAACAAAACTCAAAATTAGTAAAAAAAAAAAAAAGAATGGGCTCACTGGTCAGAGCCTTGAGGAACCTAACTAAGACTGAGGGCTTTGACCACCCTTCAAGTGTGAAAAGGAATACACCCTTTGATCCAAGCAGTAGATTGGTATATATAGAGGTGACAACTTTCAGCCAAGCAGTAGATAGGTATAAAGGGGGAAGGACAACACTAGTAAGGTATGCTCACTATGAATGATGGAACAATTAATCACTGAGAATCACAGGGACAACATGTCCCTAAGGACAATGGTAAGAAGGAAGGGACGGTGGGTGCAAGGGAAACAGGAGCCCCAGGGAGGAAGCGGATGATGCTGTTCCACAGAGGGGATTGTAATCCTTGAGATTAAACAAAGCGTATGATTTGTTGAATTTAAAACTGATGATCTTACATGGAAACCTTCACTCAATTCACAATAAACAGTTTTAAAAAATATATGTAGTAAAAAAAACTTTTTTTGAACTAAACAAAATTACAATGTAGAGTCTCAATATTTATGTTACTTTAAAAATATTGCATTGTGTTTTCAGTGAAAGTTTACATAGCAAATTAGTTTTTCGTTTAACAATTTCTATTCAGCTGCTCCTTGGAAACCCTCTACAGGGTTGCTATGGGTCAGAATGAACTCGACGGCACTCAACATCAACAAAATACAGCTTGTTCAGTGACATTGGTTTCATTGATACAGGGTGCCAACTTTCTCAATAATTCTGTTTCCAGTCATTTAGTTTCCCTGCTCTCTTTCCTTCCCATTTTTGCGTTAGAGTGTTGACCATTGGTCACTTGCAGATGAATTTTTAAAGCGAAATTGTTTATTTTGTGAATCAATGTGTTATTTAGCTTTTTGGTTCAAGGTTTGAAGAGTATCTCAGGGTGATTGATACTTGAGAGTCTTCCAGTTTCAATCGGTACAGTAGATCTGGACTTTTTAAGAATTTGAGTTCAGTCCCACATTTTGTTCCCATTATCTCAGGATTCATCTATTGCATTGCTGATCAAATTGTCAGTAGTGAAGATGGGCACCAGCTGCTTGAGACTTTCTGCTCCTGCAAAGATTTACAGTCTTGGAAACCCCAGGTAGGATCACTATGAGTTGGAACCAACTTGATGATAGTGAGTTTGGTTTTTTGCTTTTTTTTTTTTTCCTGGAGTTATTGCTCCACCAATGACTGCCAGAGTCCTACAAGTCTTGATTTGGGGGTGACAAAGAAATCCTGTAAGCAGTCTTAACTCACCAGTCGGGAATCAGAGTTTAATGAGGATTGATTTTATGTTGTGCAAAGTCAGTGTTTAGTGGGAAATTTACAGTTTAAAATGATTATATTAGAAAAGATGGACAAGGTTTTGTTCTGTTGTATCTGGCTGGGGTCCCTATTTACAGGGAATGTTAAAGGCATCTCTGTCCTTCAAGAGATTAAAAATAGTCAGGTGAGGCAGTTTCTATAGGAGCAAATGTTTACTATAAGATAGAGTCTTGCCAGTGGAAATGGGGAGGGCATAATGCAACGCTTAACCCCTGTCTCCCCAACAAATCTGTGCTGGGGTGTAGAATGTTTGGGGTAAGGAAGAGACTTCATGTTTATTCATAGGCCTAGATTTCTGGGAAATGGCCAGTGTAGGAGGGGCCATGCTAATTGGGCGCATGTGCAACATTTCTTTATGCTAGATTCCACTGCAAAGGCCTCTGGTAGGAGCCCACAGAAGTTATTCTGGGACGTTGAGAGAGTGGAGCCCTAGTTCAGACTCCTCCCAGGGGCTGCCATTCTCCCTTTGCCTCCGGTAGGTCTGTCCTTTAAAGTTATGCCTAGGTACTAGGTAAATCAGTCTCACAGGGGAGTAAAAATGCAGACTTTTTGTGGGTGGTCTTCCTAAATGGCAAGTCCCATAAAATACAGAATTTGTGTGGGTGGTCTTTCTGAATGGCATATCCCAGGAGGTGGGTACTCAGTTATGTGCCCTGGGTGTGTCTTACTCATCTTTACTATTGCCCAAGCAAGGAGGGGAATAGGCTTCAAGGTTTTGGTTACAAGATTTCAGTCAATACCTAACTCCATCATGTTTAATCCTGATTTCTGGACCCCCGTCACCCCCTGGCTCACCTACAGCTGGAAACAACTCTATGGCACGTAGCAACATTAGAAAAGAAGAAAGATCTAAAATAAAAAACCTAAGCTTTCACCTTAAAAAAAACTAGAAGAAAGAAAAAGAGGAAAGTAAACCCATGGCATTGTGGGTTAAAGCGCTGAATTGCAAAGTCGGTTTGAACCACAAGGGCGGTGATTCAAGCTCACCAGTCACTCCTGGGAAACCCTATGCAGGGTCACTATGGGTCGGAACCGACTCAAAGGCACTTAGCAAAAACAACAACAATAGCAAACCCAAAGTAAGAAGCCCAAAGGCAGGGCTCCGGAGGGAGTGGGATTCCTACAGTGGGTCAGGTACCTAAGTGAGTTCTTCCCACTCGTGGGAGCTGGAAGAGGGAGAGTAGCCTTGTTTCTGCCTGACACCCCATCTTCACTGTCCTCACAGATTCCCACCCCTGCTGACCCCATGACCCCCACTCTACCCCTGACCAACCTTGTCCGGGTTGCTCCGTGAACCCTCTGTTCCCGCGACTCCCGCTCACCCCGCGACCTTGTCGCCTGAACGACCCCCGGGGCCCTGACCTCCGCTATCCGCTGTCCCCGCGACTCCCTCTCCATCCCGCGCCCCCGCGGCGGTTGAGCTGCTCCGCGGCCTCCGGGCGCCTCCCAGTCCCCTGGGTGGCGCCATGCGGCCGGGGCCCGCGCTGCTCCTCCTGGGCCTGGGCCTGGGTCGCCTCCCGCCGCCCTCTGCTCCTCGCGGGGTCCAGGACCTCGGCCCCGGGGCGCCCGCCTCGCCGTCGGGGGCCCCGCCCGGCGTCCCCGTGACCATCGAGGCCGCGGAGCCGCGCCGAGTCGGGACCGCCCTCGGCTTAGGGATGCGCGGCGGCCGGGCCCGTCTCCGCCTGCGGCCCCGTGCGGCCCCAGCCGGCGGCGTGGCCCTTAGCGGCGGCCACAGCTTCTGCTTCACGACGGCCGGGGGCACCGCGGCTGCGCCGCGCTGGTACTGCCTCGGCCTGCGCGCCCTGCTCCGCGCCCGCGGCGGGCCCGCAGCGCCTACCGACCTGGACCTGCGGCTGGCTGCGCCGGGTGGCCGGCTCTCCCTGGCCTGGTTCGCGCCGCTGCGACGCCCTCTTCGCCACCCACGATGGTCTTTCCACCTGCAGCTACTCGGGCCGGGAGAGACCCGGCGTCCCCACTTCTCCGCTCGCTCCGTGCGGCCCGCCAGCCCCGGACTCCACGCAGGCTTCGTGGCCGAAACCACGTGCCCCACGGACGGCCCCACGCCCGTGATTCTAGAGGCTGTCAACTCGAACACCCCCAAAGCCATCCAGTCTTCCGTGTCCTGTCAGATGAAACCCTGTCTGATCAAGCAGGTAAAGATCCATCGGGACCACCCATCTTCCCCAATGCGGTTGACCTGGAAGACAGAGGCTGACATTGAGGCCACCGCGGAGATCGATTGCCCAGGCGCCCTTTCCATTATTCAATTTTGGCAAATTTTCCCAGTGCGTTCTGCGTTGGACGTGCCGGATTGGACTACACCTTTGGATATACCACAACTCCAGACGAGGATAAATTCATCATCTCTACATATCCCCAAGTCTACTTTAACTTGGGGGATGTATGTGGTTAATTTCGTAGTGGCCATAACCACATCGGATCCAGCTATGCCTTTGGTGAACGATTCAGATTACATTTATGTGGCGGTTAACAGAAGTCCCTTGAAGGCAGTAATTCTTGGGGATTCCCGCATAACAATAAATTTCACAGATGGCCTGGTTCTGGATGGCAGAATGTCCTCAGATCCAGATGCAGATAGCCCTTTGGAAGGACTCAGTTTTTTTTGGTACTGTACCACAGATCGCAAAAACTACAGAGGAAATGAAATCACAGTTTTAAGTAGTGATATTTGTCACCCTGAGCAGACTGACCTGCATTGGACATGGGCCTCTGGCCCAATACTAACAGTTTCACCAGAAACACTTCAAGGTAACCGTGTATATTTTTTCAGAATGGTGATACAGAAAAATGCCAGATCAGCATTTTCTGATAAAAGGGTTCATGTGTTCCAAGGACCAACACCTATAGCAAGAATTTCGTGTATTGAAAATTGTGATCGAATTTTAATTATATCAGATCGATTTTCTTTGTTTTTAAATTGCACAAATTGTGGCCTAAGCCGTATCTTCTCTAGATGGTCAATTTTGTCCCCTACAGCTCAAGAGATGCCATTTGATTGGAGGGGGCAAACCGTAACAGGGAGACATGGTACTTACTTGTCTATCAAGGCTTTTGCTTTTAGGCGGTTTCTGGAAAAGCAGTATTGGATTTCGCTATACCTAGCAACATGGGGTGGCGTGATCTCAGTCTTTAAGCATGACTTTGTTATTAATCATGCCCCTCAAGTAGGAGAATGTGAAATTAATCCAGCAAAAGGAATTGCATTTGTTACTAAATTTGTGGTTGGGTGTAGTTCTTTTAAGGACAAGGATATTCCTCTTACGTATAAAATAATAGTTTCTGATTTGTACGGTATTGGTGAAATAAGTTCTTTAAAAGAGAATACCTTAGGGGCCATCCTGTACTTGGGGACACAGACTAGAGCACCCCCTTCCTTTCTCCCAGTTGGCGTGATGGCTAATCATTATGCCGTGAAACTGTACGTTCAAGTTTATGATTCTCTCGGAGCTTTTTCTCAGGTGACTTTGTATGCCACAGTGCAGGCTCCTACTGATGAGAACCAGCCGAGGACTATTCTGCATCAGTTACTCAATGCTACCATGGGATCAAGTTCATTGCTATCGTCTTTGCTTCAAAAGCAGGATTTTCTGTCTGCAGGTTACTTACTATATACAGTGGCTTCTGTTTTGAATAGCATGAAAACTGAGTTAACTCTCTTAGACGACATGATCAATATCCGAAAACATCTTGTCAATCAGACCTTCCTTCTTCCTATAACCACTTTGGTAGAAATTAACCAAGTAGTCATGATTATTACAAAATTAGCTCAGAAAGGCTCCGAATTCAGCCCAATTGCTCAGAAACTTGCCACCATCAGGCTATGGCAAGCAAACCAAGCACTGCAGACATATCGGCAAAAAGAGAAACACTTCCGTTCTGAACAAATAGAGATTGTGAGTACTGGGATATTTACTATGTTGTCTAATAGCCTTCAATACATTGCTCCTCACGAAGTTGTGCAAGATCCTTTCTATGTAATAGAATCTCTAGCAGATACAATATTGGCTAGCAAAGTGCCAGGGAGTGAAACCACCGTCCTGAGCATTTCAAACCTGAACATACACCTCGAGAAAATGGAGAAGTGGGATGTTACCAAGGTCTTCACAAGTGAACAACACTGCCGAAATTGTTTTTATCCCACACTGAGTGTGAGCAGTGTTCCTGATTTGCCTCCAAATGCTCCGATTTCTACAGTGTTTTGTGAGTTTGCAGATGACCCGTTCCCTTGGTTAAATTATGGGAGAAACATCTCAGTAGAGGTGGTTGGATTTAGAATGACAGGGGCCAAGGCTAATGGTGACGTGGTTGAGATCACACCTGACGTCGTGGAAGTGTACCTCATCCGGAAAAACTTGACCTCTACCACTTTTAATCTCACAGTGGGACCCAACGGTGAACCTGATGAGGTTGATGAGCCCTTGAGAAAGACTACAGGGGCATTTCGCTTTGAAGTGGACAGCAGAGTAGTCAAGGAGCTCTTTGTCCACATTGTGACCAACGTGACGGTGCTATTCAAGGTGCTGGTGTATGCGGGCGGTCACGTCACTCCCACTGCTCTGGTGGCCTCTTTCCTGGTGCCCCATGACATGCCTCCTACTGCCAACCAGAGTGGCCTCTTTGACCCTGCCTGTTCTGTGAAGGAGGCCCGTGTGGTTTGCCTTCCGCAGTCTCTGCTGCAGGTGATAGGTCAGCGCAGACAGTCTTCCAAGTTTGCCGTATCTGTGGTCCTGCAGGCTCCTCGTTTTGTTTTGTCGCCCAATAGCAAGCTAGTGAGGATTTCGCTTTTCAGTGTTCAGTGTTTGGACATGGAGGGGATTCAGAGTGATTGGAGAGACGATCATTGTATTCTAGGTGAGAAGACCAGCTGGCGCAAAGTGCACTGTGTCTGCAAGAACCAAGTAAGGGCCAGGCGGCAGGTGAACTCCGTTTTAAATCTGACCGGCATTCAGCTGCATGCACGCTATGTGACAGGCAAGGTAATCGTGATCCCTAATGCTGTAGATCTGCAACTCGAAGTCATCAAGAAAATCAACCAAAACCCTGTGACTCTCTTCACCGTACTTTTCATCCTGCTCATCTACATAGTCCTTGCTTTCTGGGCCTTGCACAGGGATGAAACAGACCAGTTTCAGAGGCATCGTGTGGTAGTTGTACCCGATAATGATCCTTATGATAACATGTGCTACTTGGTCACTATTTTTACAGGAAGTCGTTGGGGGTCTGAAACCAGGGCTGATGTCTTTGTCCAGCTTATGGGCACAGAGGGTACCAGTGACGTGCATTGTTTAAGTCACCCATATTACACAATTCTCTACCGAGGAAGCGTCAATACTTTCCTCCTAACGACGAAAAGTGACTTGGGGGACATCCTCTCTGTTCGTGTGTGGCACAACAATGAGGGGAAGAAACCAAGTTGGTATCTAAGTCGCATCAAAGTGGAAAATCTGTTCACCAGATGCGTTTGGCTGTTCATGTGCCGGAAATGGCTTTCTATTGACACCTCTTTGGATAGGACATTTCGTGTTATCCACCCAGATGAGCCTCTAAACCGAAAGGACTTTTTCTTAATAAATTCAGCTTATGAGCTAGGGAAAAGTCACATGTGGTTCTCCATTTTTGCTGGTGTCATTGCTAAACCAGTCAACAGGCTACAGAGACTGTCCTGTTGTTTAACAGTGTTGTTAAGCAGTCTTCTTTGTAATATTATGTTCTTTAATGCCAATAGAAAAGAAGACATTGAGTCCAAAGGGTTATACTACATCAGGTTAATGATGATAGGAGTTGAAAGTGCCTTAATTACAGTCCCTGTGCAATTATTATTAATGGTTTTGTTCACCTATTCCCAAAAGAAACCTACTCAGATGACTCTAGATGAGGTATCTCCTCGAAAACATCATCCTCTGATGACAGAAGAGAGTGGATTCTGGGACGAACGTTTGGAAAAGTGGTATGCTTATGAAACCACTAAGACGCAGACCAGGAAGACTGAAAAGCATACATCGAGAGACAATCCTGAACTTCCTAAGGCTTCTGGACAGACAACCTTCAAAAGCCAGCAGCCTGAGAAAGCAGAGACTAAGGATCCATGGACCGATACCAGAAACGCCAATGACAACAACAATGACAACATAAAAGACCATCAAGATGTTCTTTCAGAAGAAACCCCTTCCAAACAGAAACCTCAGCCGAAGGCCAGATTTCTTCTGCCTGCTTGGTGTGTTTATATAGCATGGTTCTTGGTTTTTGCCATTAGTAGCATATCATCATTCTTTATCGTATTTTATGGGCTGACTTATGGCTATAATCGGTCAATAAAATGGCTCTTCACATCTTTTTGTTCATTCTTTCAGTCCATTTTTCTGGTGCAGACATCTAGAATTTTACTTCTGTCAGGTTTCAGAACAAATAAGTCGAAGTATTGTAAAAACCTTCCATGGACAATTAAGTATCGTTACACAGAGATCAAGCTTCATGGGCTGAGGAAGAGTCCAGCTGAAAGGCACAAGCTGCATCTCCGTATCAATCACATCCGGGGCACCAGGATGTACCAGCCCCTCACAGAGGATGAAATAAGAATATTCAAAAGGAAGAAGAGAATCAAAAAACGAGCGCTCCTCTTCCTTAGTTACCTTCTAACACACTTTATCTTCCTAGCCCTTCTCTTGGTCCTCATCGCGGTCATGCATCACACGGACAACTTTTACTATAACCAGTTTATTCGGGATTATTTCTCGGTGGACCTTGCCACGGTCACTAAGCTGGAACATATTTATAGATGGCTACACAAGGTGCTGTTGCCTTTGCTTCACAACGACCTGAATCCAACGTTTCTTTTCGACAGCTCATCTAAAATCCTTGGCCTTCCACTGATGCGGCAAGTACGAGCAAAACCTAGTGAAAAAAAGTGTCTGCCTGACAAAAATCTCATCCTTCATAGCGTCAAGAGGGACATTCATTGTCATCCCAAGTATGGCATTGACCCAGAAGACACAAAAAACTACTCTAGCTTTTGGAATGATGTTGATAAACAGGCTATTAACAACAACCGCAATGGGTTTATTTATAAGCCGCAAGAAAAGAAATGGTCTTACTATTCCTATGGGCTGTTACATACGTACGGATCAGGAGGGTACATATTCTATTTTTTTCCAGACCAGCAGCAGTTTAATTCTACATTGAGGCTCAGGGAGCTCCAAAGAAATAATTGGCTTGATGAGAAGACGTGGGCTGTGATTGTGGACCTTACGACTTTTAATTCGGACGTGAATCTGTTCTGTAGCATTGCCGTCATATTTGAAGTTTCTCAGTTAGGAGTTGTTAACTCAAGTACATTGGTGCACTCGTTCTCACTTTTTGACTTCAACAGGAATACTTCAGCCGAAGTCTACGTGTACCTGGCCATTCTCATTTTTTTCTTAGCCTATATCGTTGATGAAGGTTATATCATTATGCAAGAAAAAGCCTCCTACGTGAAAAGTGTGTATAATTTACTCAACTTTGCTTTAAAATGCATATTTACTGTTCTGATTGTCCTTTTTTTCCAGAAACACCTCTTGACCACAGACATCATTCAGTTTTACTTATCGAATCCTAGGAATTTCATTCCATTTCATGCCATTTCTCAAGTAGATCATCTTATGAAGATCATTTTGAGTTTCCTGCTATTTCTGACCATCTTGAAAACCCTCAGGTATTCCAGATTCTTCTATGATGTGCGACTGGCTCAGAGGGCCATTCAAATCGCTCTTCCTGGCATCTGCCACATGGCCTTTGTGGTGTCTGTTTATTTCTTTGTATACATGGCTTTTGGCTACCTGGTATTCGGCCAGCATGAATGGAACTACAGTAACTTGATTCATGCCACACAGACAGTATTCTCTTACTGCGTCTCAGCTTTTCAGAACACTGAATTTTCTAGTAACAGGGTTCTTGGGATCTTATTCCTCTCATCTTTTATGCTGATCATGATCTGCATCTTGATCAATTTGTTTCAGGCAGTGATTCTGTCTGCCTATGAGGAGATGAAGCAGCCTGTGTATGAGGAGCCATCAGATGAAGCAGAAGCAATGACTTATTTGTGTCGTCAGCTAAGAGCAGTGTTTCGTCTTCTGACCTTCCGCTCCAGGACCAAAAATGAACCTGAGTTTGTTATTGACATGCTATATGGACAACCAGAGAAAAACAACCGCCGGTATCTGGGGCTGAAGACCAGAAACATTAATGGGAAAAAAATGATTTATCTTGTTGTTTGATAAATGACAGTTTCAAGAGCCACAAGGAAGATTTCTCCTCCAATTCTGTTTGTAGGGTTCAGACACGTTTAGTGGCCATGTTGCACTTTCTACCCATCTCCTTCATAATACACACCTCCTACATTTCAGCTTATCCCCCTTCTTGGCATCTGTTCTCAGGAATATGAAAGGTCTATGTTGAAATAAAATGTCGTGGCTGGGGAGAAGATTACAGTGTGTGATTTCAGGATTGAATTCTCTATCAGGAAGTTGTGTAACTTCTTGTAGAGACAATTAGAGCTGCTACTTTTGAAAACCAGAATTGAGGGAGGGAGTTGAAGAGGCCGCACCTTTAGCACAACATTGTCCTGTTGCTTCTGGGCTCAGCCAAGGCTCGGAGCCATATCCCTAGCAATTCACAATGGAGTCCTTGACTCCTCAGCCTTGCTTGAAGGTCTGGTTACAGACCAAGGCTGCTGAGCATCCTCCTCATCCCTCTCCTTCCAGCTGGCCCAGGACTGGAGGGATCTTAATGTATTTATCCTCTTTCATGGTAATGAGCAATGGGAGCTTTCAGTCCAAAGTCTGAAGCATCCCCTCCATTTACTACAAGTTAAAGATGTAAACTTAACATTTGTCTTTTTACTGAGAGACATGGCTTTTGTCAAACAACAAAGACGTCTGTGTGTGGGTTCACAATGAAATATAATACATGTTACATCCATTTAATATTTGGGACTTGGTTATTTATGACAATTATTTAGGAATGATAATGAAAACATTGTTTATTGTCAGTTTCCATATTATCACCCAGAAGTGTGCTCTTTGATGTCCACTGGATGTTAAGCTTATCCGCATTAAATGTGAGGTTTCTTCTGAAACTTGCAGTGATTCCTGCGTGCCGCCCATCTACACAGGGTCAGAGTAAGGGGACAGCCACATCAGGTGGCTGGCTGCTCCTCAGCAGATGTTCCCTGTTCAGTGCTTGCCTCGCACAATCCTGCGTGGCACCGTGTTGGCACATGGATGCCCGAGAGCCTAGGGCAGCAAACCAGCTGGCTCAGGGGTTCCCAGGTCCTGGGTTAGGGGTCACGGGTAATGCTGGCCCGTCCTGGCCGTGGACGTTCGGACTGGAGCGGTTGCCTTAACTCGGACTCTTTACCCCCGAAGCTCAGGCTGAGGAAACAGCGACCGTTGTCCTGATGGAGGCAGGGCCCTCCCCGCTAAGCCAGCATTAGCGAGTTGTCATGAAGGGAAGCCAAAGTAGGCGAGACCCGATGTCTGCAAAGTCGGGAGAGGTGGCGCCGGGGCGCCTGTACCCTCCACTCTGAGGAAGCCGGTGCGGAAGGAAGTGAGGCTCGGCGCTGCCACAGCTGGAGGCCAAGTCCGCGTATTTGCGCACGAGCACGTCGGGCGACACCTTTCTTTAAGCTCGTCCCTTTCTCCCTTCGATTTGCGCTCCACTTTCCCGGCAGACACCGCGCTGAGCCAAGGCGGGAAAACCGCAGGGGGGGCGGAGCCGGCTACGAAGCCCCGCCCCATGCCGCTCAGGCGTGCGCCGAGCTGCGACGACACACCCTTCCCTCCCAACGCGTGCGCCAGAGGGGTGGTCCTTAGGAGGCGAATTCCGCCCTGCTCTGTTTCACGCGTGCGTTCTGAGCCTGCGATGAAGACCCGCCCCTCACCGCGCTGCGCGTGCGCTTGGGACTCAGCCTTCAGGAGAGCGGAGCGGCGCTCTGAGGTGAGTGCGTTTGACGGCGGTGCTGGGCGTCCTCAGCGGTTCCGCGGTTCGGGCCTCAGCGCAGTAATAGGCGTCGTGGAACCCAGAACGTATCGGTTGAGGCTCAGTGTTCGAGCGGCAGCTTGCGGGAGTGTGGGAGGGAAGGGGTCGCGAACATGCCATCGCGTCGCCGATGGCGGGCTCTGTGGAGCTTGCGGACCCGTGTGCACGATTGGGAAGGGGAAAACGCCCGCCCAGCAGCCTTGGGGAGAACCTGTGTAGCGCCATTGTACGGGTGTGGCGCGGAATTAGCTTTCACACGTCCACAATAAAAGAGAATTTCCTCTCTAGCCTCAGTAAGAGGAGCCTTGGTGGCGCCGTGGTTAAAGCACCCGCTGCTAACCCCACGATGGATCGTTTGAACCCCCCAGCATCGTCTGCATAGGCAGATGGGCAGCTCCACTCGTGTCAGAATCGGCTCTGGCAGTGCGGAGGTTTGGTTTGGTTTGTTAGCGCAAGTAGGATGGTATGACGGCCTCATCTGTGCTTCCAAGGTTCGTGTGTGAGTTTGTCCTAATGCACAGGCAAAGGTAAAGGTGGGCTGTGTGAAAAATCGTAACTTCCTGAACTCATTAGAGAGAGAGCTGAGGTTACAGGACAAGCCACAAGCCAAGCCTCTTGTTAATGAATGGACTCCAGTTCCTAGGGATTTTCTAGGACAGAGTAGAAGTGCCTTATGGGGCATTTCTTAGGCAGCCAAGCGCTTAGCCAATGTACTATGGGACCATCTTTAACAGTAAGGTAGACATCTAAGAAAAGACAGGTGCCTCCAAGATACCATGGAAGAGAGCTCTGTACAAGCAGATAATCATCCAGGTACAGTTTTTTAAGGAAATGCTATATAACTTGTCTGTACCTTTGTTGTACTGGGGTGGCTTGCGTGTGGCTGTGATTCTGAAAGCTATGCCACCGGTACTTTAAATACCAACAGGGTCGCCTATGGTGGACTTTCAGCTGAGCTTCCAGACTAAGACAGACTAGGAAGAAGGAGAGGTGGACTACTTCTGTATGTTTAGCCCCGAAAACCTTATGCATAGCAGCGGAACACTGTCAGCACCAGAATACTGAATATTGGAACATTATGGCTAGTACCAGAAATTGATAGATGATAGTACCGGAAGATGAGGAGAAATAGCTGTAAACATACATTAATCACTGAAACATGAAATGTATGAACTTTGAATTTAGGAAAAGTAGAAGTCAAAAATGAAAGGGAGCACATACAGATTGATATCCTAGGTGTTGTTAAGTGCTGTTAAATTGAGTTGGTTCTGACTCAGCGACCCTATGTATAGGCATTCCAAGGAGCACCTAGTGAGTTTGAACTGCCAACCTTGTAGTTCACAATCAGTCCAGTGTGGATCCTACAGCACCATACCAGGAGTCCATCTAGGCATTAGTCAGTTGAAATAGGCTGCTATATGCCATTTTGAGTCTGGATTAGAATGCCAGAGATAACAAAATTCTTCAAAAAGATAACTTCAAAATCTATCTTGAAGTATAATGATGTCTGTGATAGGATAACATCCTTACACCTACAAGGAAGACCAATGAATACCACTATTATTCAAATTTACATACCAAATACTAAAGCCAATGATGATGCAATTGAATTCTACCAATTTATTCAGACTGAAATTGATCAAACATGCAATCAAATTGTATTGATCATTACTGGTGATTGGAATGCAAAGATTGGAAACAAAGAGGAAGGACGAGTACTTTGAAAATATGGCCTTGGTGATGAAATGATGGTGGATATCGCATGATAGAATTTTGCAAGACCAATGACTTTTTCATTGCAAATACCTTTTTAAAAAAAATGTTTTATTGTGAATTATGTGATAATTTACATGGGAGAACATTAGCTTTACATTCATCCTATCATATATCATTTCATTGCCATGGTTACAGTCCCCTTCATGCATCATCCAACAAGCAAGCCTTCCCCTTGGTCATCAGCACACAGCCCCTCTCCCTCTCTGTCTAGAGTCCCCAGCCACTCTATCTCTCTCCGTCATCGTCTCTGCCTCCATCTCTGGCATCACTTTCTCTGGGTAGGGTCCCACACTCTGCTTTATTCCCTTGATGGTCCCCAAATACCTTTTTTAAACAACATAAAAGATGACTATACACATGGACCTCACCAGATGGAATACACAGAAATCAGATTGACTCCATCTGTGGAAAGAGATAGAAGGAAAGCTCCATATCATCAGACAAAACAAGGCCAAGGACAGACTGTGGAACAAATCATCAATTGCTAATATAAAAGTTCAGATTGAAGCTGAAGAAAATGAAAAAAAAAAACAAACAAACCCATGACAACCACAATATGACTTTGAACGTATCCTACTTGAATTTAGAGATCATCTCAACAACAGATTTGATGCATTGAACACTAAAGACTGAAGACCAGTATTGTGGGATGACATCAAGAACATCATACAGGAAGAAAGCAGAAGATCATTAAGAAAACAAGAAAGAAGGACAAAGACCAAAATGGATGTGAGAAGAGACTCTGAAGCATGCTCCTGAGTGTAGAGATGCTGAAGTAAATGGAAACATTGAAAAAGTAAAAGAATAGACAATTTGAAACGACAGCGTGAGAAGACAAAGTCAGGTATTATATTGAAATGTGCAAAGATCTGGAGTTAGAACACCAAAAGGGAGCAACACGCTCAGTATTTCTCAAGCTGAAAGAACTTAAGAAAAAAATCAAGCCTCAAATTGAAATATTGAAGATTTCTATGGGTAAAATATTGAATGGTGCAGAAAGTATCAAAAGAAGATGGAAGGAATACACAGTCACTGAACCAAAAGAAATGATCAGTGTCCCACCATTTCAAGAGGTAGCATGAACAAGAGCCAATGATACTGAAGGAAGAAGTCCAAGGTGCACTGAAGGTATTGGCAAAGAACAGGGCTCTGGGAATTGATGGAATACAAATTGAAATCTTTCAACAAACTAATGCAGCACTGGAAGCAGTCGCTTATCGGTGCCTGGAAATTTGGAAGATAATAATCTGGCCAACTGATCAGAAGAGATGAATATTTGTACCCATTCCAAAGAAAGGTGAGCCAATGGAATGTGGAAATCATTGGGCGGTATCATTAATATCTTTTTTTTTTTTTTTTCCTGTGTGCTGTGGAGTCGGTTCCGACTCATAGCGACCCTGTACTGTACAGGGTTTCCAAGGCTGTAAATCTTTACAGGAGCGGAACGCCTCATCTTTCTCCTGCGGAACAGCTGGTAGTTTCGAACTGCTGACCTTGCGGTTTGCAGCCCGATTCGTAACCATTACGCTACCAGAGCTCTTTATTAATATCATATGCAAGTAAAATTTTGGTAAAGATAATTCTAAAACAGCTGCAACAGTACAGGGAACTACTAGAGGTTCAGATGAGGACGTGGAATGTGGGATATCATTGCTGATGTCAGATGGATCTTGGCTGAAAGCAGAGAATACCAGAAAGATGTTTGTCTGTGCTTTATTGATTATGCAAAGGCTTTTAACTATGCGGATCATGACAAGCTATGGATAACATTAGAAAGAGTGGGTACTCTAAAATACTTAGTTGTGCTTATGAGGAACTTGCACGTATACCAAGAGGCAGCTCTTAGAACAGAATAAGGTGATACTGAATGGGTAAAATAAGGAAAGGTATGCACCAGGGCTATATTCTTTCAACATATTTATTTAGTCTTTACTCTGAATAAATAATCCAAAAAGCTGGTTATATGAAGAAGAATGTGGCATCAGGATTGGTGGAAGACTCATAAACAACTTGTGATATGCAGATGATACAACCTTGCTTGCTGAAAGTGAAGAGGACTTAAAATACTGATGAAAATCAAAGACCACAGCCTTCAATAATGGTTGAACCTTAATGTAAAGAAAAAAAAAAAAAACCATCACGAATGGACTAATAAATAACATCATGAAAAATGGAGAATAGATTGAAGTTGTCAAAGACTTTATTTTGCTTGGAACAGCACTCATGGAAGCATCAGTCAAGAAATGAAACGCCATACTGCGTTAGGCAAATTTGCTGCACAAGCCCTCTTTAAAGTATACAAGAACAAAGCCATCATGTTTTCAATACCTTATTTGCATGTGAAAGTTGGACAGTGAATAGGGAAGATCAGATCGTAGAATTGATACATTTGAGTTAAGGTTTTGGAGAAGAATATTAAAAGTACCATGAACTGCCAGAAGAACAAACAAATCTGTGTTGTATTAAGTATAGTCAGAAAGCTCCTTAGAAGCCAGGATGGGGAGACTTTGTCTCTCGTACTTGGGACACATTTCAGGAGGGACCAGTCCCTGGAGATTGACATCGTGCTTGGTAAAGTGGAGAGTCAACCCCAAAGAGAAGAACCTCCACTGAGATGGATTGGCTCAGCGGCAGCAGCAGTGGGCTCAAGTGTAGCCGTGATTGTGAGGGTGGTACAGTACCAGAGAGTGTTTTGTTCTGTTGGACATAGTTCTGTCATTATGAATTGGAACCTAACAACAATGAACAGCCTAGTATGAGAGTCTAAAAACTTGGAGCCACAGACACAAGGGTAGTTTGTAACCCCTTGCAGGTTTCTCCCGCAGACCTTCACTGAATGCTGTTGGGAGAGATTAGGAGCAGACAGGAGACCAGACAAGAGGATGGAGGCTGCTCTCATTGCAGCCTGTCAATCTTTCTCCTCTGCCTGGTGGCTCCTCCCTCATGGAACAAAAACCTTACACCACATAGTCGTTTGAACTGCAAGGTTGGCGGTTCAAGCTCACCAGCTGCTCCTCGGAAACCTTATACGGGGTCGCTCTGGGTCAGAACTGACTCAACGGCACTTAACAACAACTGGGTACCAACCCTCTCTACCCACTGAACAGAGATGAAGACCTTTTGCAGCTAGGGATAGAGCAAAGGAGAAACACCCTCTATCCTTGAGGATCGGATAGGAAATTCCTGGCAACAAATTGCTAGACGCCACTGCCTGCTGAGGAACTTGCAGAATTCACCCCCCCACCCTTCCAAATTTCACCTAATACCTAGGGACCCACGGCGGAAGCTTTGTCAGACAACAGAGAACCCACCAGACTGGGCAAGCAGGGACTGAGTAAGAAACCACTGAAATCTCCCGCTGGAGAAATCAAGAGACACCCTGGTTGAGGCAAAGGCAAAGAAAGACCTAAAACTGAAAGTGATGGACACATGGACACATGGAGAGAAACCTTCTGTCAGAATGAGTTCTAACCCCAGGCACAAGACAATGCTAGAGAAACTTGAAGCCAGTGATGTCCTGAGGAAATCAACGGCCACTGCACAATCCAAACCTACCTCAACTCCTGGCTAGGCTGACTCAGTAGTCTACACCAAAGGCCAGTTGCTAGGTGCCATGGAGTTGGTGTGATTCACAGTGACCTTATGCACAACAGAAGGAAACACTGCCTGGTTCTGCGCCAGTCTCATAATTGTTGATATGCTTGAACCTATTGCTGCTACCATTGTGCTAATCCATCTCTTTTAGGATCTTCCTCATTTTTGTTAAGGAGCTCTGGTAGTGTAGTGGTTACAAATCGGCCTGCTAATGTCAAGGTCAGCAGTTCAAAATGACCAACCATTCCGCGGGAGATTCCCATAAAGATTGACATTCCCATAAAGATTGACAGCCTTGGAAACCCTGTATGGGGTCGCTGTGAGTTGGAACCGACCCCACAGTACTTAACAACAACAAGCCATTTTTGTTGACCCTCCATTCTACCAAGCATGCTGTCCTTTTCCAGGGACTGGTCTTCCCTGATGATATGTCTGAGGCACGAGAGATGAAGTCTGGCCAGTCTGGCTTCTAAGGAGTATTTTGACTGTACTTCTTTCAACACAGATTTGTTTGTTCTTTTGGAAGTCCATGGTGTTTTTAATGTTCTCCTCCAACACCGTAAGTCAAATGCATTAATTCTTCCATGGTTTTCCTTATTCATGATCTGACTTTCACATGCATATGAGGCAATTGAAAATACCATGGCTTGGGTCAGGCGCATGTTAGTCCTCAAACTGACATCTTTGCTGTTGAACACTTAAAAGAGGTTTGTGCAGAAGATTTATCTAATGCAACATGTCATATGACTGATGGACTGCCATGAGTGTGGATGGTTGATACGAGCAAAATGAATTTGTTGACAACTTCAATCTTTTTTCCGTGTGTTTTGGTGTAATTTATTGGTGCAGTGGTGAGGATTGTTTTTTTCCTTTACATTAAGGTGCAACTAATATTGAAGACTGGTTTTTGATCTTCATCAGTGTTTTAAGTGCTCTTCGCTTTCAGCAAGCAAGGTTGTATTATCCACATATCACAGGTTGTTAATGGGAAAAAAAGGTCTATTTTCAGGCACAAATACTACTTACCTCGATTTCTAATGTCTTACCAAAAGAATGGAGCCAAAAAAGAAACCCAGGAAAAAATAATCGATAGAACCAGAATTACAGATGTGCAGCAGATACTGAAATGATCAAAGTTGAAAATGTACAGAACACTTTAAAGGCTCTAGGTGGAAAAAAAGTGTGTGACTTACAAACAGGTGGGGCAATTTCAACCCAGAAGGAAACTATGAGAATCAGATCGAAGTACGAGAAATAAACTTCATAACACAGATGAAGAATGCCCTCAGAGGGTACATCAGTTGATGTAACATAGCTGAGAGAAAAAAATAAGTGAACCTGAAGCTAATTCAATTGAAATTATGTAATTCCACATGGGTAAACAGAACGAGAAAAGGAGTTTGAGGAAAAGCAGAACAACGCATTCAAGGACTATAAGACAATATTAAATGAGCTACTAGAGAGTCCTGGTGTGGCGCTGTGGGTTAATGCGCTGGACTGCAAAGTCTTTTGAACCACAAAGGGCAGTTCAAGCTCACCAGCTACTCTGCGGAAACCCTATACAGGGTCGCTATGGATTGGAACCGACTCGACAGCACTTAACAACAACTATAGAAGAGGAATCCTGGTGTGGCACTGTAGGGTAAGCACTGGACTGCTAAGCACAAGGTTGGCGGTTCAAATGGTTGCTCCCTGGGAACCATGTATAGGGTTGCTGTGAGTTGGAACCAATTCAATGGTACTTAACAACAATATACAGTAGGGAGCATGGTGGCTCTGTAGGTTAAGCACTGAACTACTAACCACACAGTCTGTGGTTTGAGCTCCACCAGCTACTCTGTGTGGGAGAAGGATGAGGCTTTCTGCTTCTGTGAAGATTTAGAGCCTCAGAAACCCTTTACAGGGTTGCTGTGAGTTGGAACCAACTCAGTGGCACTTAACAGCTGATGGTAAAACTTGTAAAGGCTGGAACCTGCGTAAAGCAGAAACCTGCTATTGAATGAAAACTCAGATCTAAAGAGGCTTCAAAAAGTTCATGGAAAATGTAATGAAAAGATAATAGAATTTTCCCACGAACTTCTCAAAGCCCCCTCATTTTTCACTCAGAGTGATGGAAAAGTGACCGCACCATTTTTTTCAAAGGTTGAAAACTTGTGAGACCCAGACAGACAAGGCAGTCAGTCCCATTGCATTCCGGCTTTCCCAGGTTTGATTGTATTTGCAGTTGGAATCCCAGAAGAAGAGAGAGAGAGAGTGTTACAAAAGTATTTGAAGTGATAATAGCTCAGAATTTCCTAAAAATAAGAGATATCAAATCGTAAAGCAAAGCCTTTGCTCGAAGAAGTACAGCCGGATAAATATAAACAGAGCAAACCCCAAAGCTAAATACAGGTTCAAACTGCTGCAAGCTGGAGGGAAAGAGAAAATCTGCAGGCTTTGTCTCTCCATCTTGCAGATGGCGTGTGAGGCAGAGCGCCGTCCCCTGGGCGTGTTTGAGTGCCAGCTCTGTGCTTTATCAGCTCCATACAGCTACGTGGGGCAGAAGCCCCCTGACACCCGGTCTGTCGTGTGAGTACATCCCCAGCTGCTACAGTGAGAGGCTGTTTTGTTGGCTTTTCCCTGCTCAGGCCATGGACCCTGAAGGTGTGGCCTGAACAGTTCTGGGAGAGGTTCTTCCAGAATCTCCAGTGCCTTCAATCCAGGGACCAACATTCATTCCATGGCCCATGCTGAAGCAGCCCACCAGCTGACAGTCCAAGGATCCTTGTCACCCTATTTTTGCCCCTCCTGGTTCCTATGGTGGCATTCTCATAGTGGGAGGCTGGCTTCCCTGCAGGAGCGAATCCTGAGGACCAGGGCTCCTGAACAGACCTGACATGGTGCCGATGGGTCCTGCACTTCTTTTGGGGCACATAGCCAACCACTGTATAACTTATAGGGGGACACAATGACACAGGAACTTGGGGTGTCATCCTGTGACTACTGGTCTCATATGATGTACAGTGGGAGACCAGCCCTTACCTCACCCCCTCAGGCCTGGGGCTCATGTTTACCATCCGTCAGGCTGCGGAGCCATGGTGTGGTCCCCTGCACTTGGTCCCACGTTTTGGGCTTCCTGTTCTTCGCCTTTCTCTGTGGCCTTGACGGACCAGCCCCAACCCCAGTGAGCACATGCCCAGCCGTGGTGTTGATAGCTGCCTGCCTTTTCTGCAGTCTCCTGGAGGAAAGCTACGTCCTGAAGGACCCGTTCACCGCAGACAGGAACAAGTTCCTGGTCCTCGGCTCCCGGTGCAGTGTGTGTAGCAGGCTGGTGTGCGTGGGCCCGGTGAGTTAGGGGCCTGGGGCTGGGACCTCCACCCATGGCAGGAGGTCTCGGATAGTCTGAGGAATGCTGGGAAGTCGGTTGTTGGCGGCTCTGCAGCACTCCCAGTATGCACTCCCCCACCCCCATCCACAGGCAGCACTCTCTCCACATTGGGTGGAACTCTTGTTGTTGTTGGGGGCTTTTCAGACGGTGGACATCACTTTCCTGGAGCCTTTGTTGTGGGCCAGGTCCTGAGCTCGGGCCCCTGGTACAGGTGACAGTTCAGCAGCCTTCCCCAGGCCCATGAGGGACTGACTGCCTGCCGCCCAGTTGGTTCCGACTCCTAGTGGCCCTGTGGGCTGTCTCTGGGCTGTCAGTCTTTACGGGAGCGGAAGCCTCATCTTTCTCCCGAGTACCTGGTGGGTTTGAACTATTGACCAAATAGTTAGCAGTCCTGCGCGTTTTCTACAGTGCCACCAGTGCCCCTACACCACTTGAGAGTTTAGGAAATGGGTTCAGAGAGGCTGAGGGGCCCTATTTGCCTGGTTAGCTGAGCCTGTTGTTTAAAGCCCACAGCTGAGGAGCCGAGGACTTGGCAGTGGGGCCAAGTGACGGGTGTGAGACGCCCCTCAGCTCTGCACTGGGGGTGCAGGACTCACAAGGGGAACTGAGTCACAGGTCACGGTTCAGTCAGACTCCACCTCAAAGGTCAGACAGGGGCCTGGTGGGGGAAACATGGGTGGTCAGGAATCTGTGAGGAGCCAGGAATGCCTGCAAGACGGGAGGAGACCCGGGGACGGTGAAGAGCATGGAGGTGTACCACCGTCAGAGCTGCAGGCGTGACCCACACAGCTCTCAGAAACCTGCCTCCTCCCCGGGGGCTGGCGTCTTGTGCTAGCGGAGGGCGTTCTAAGGTGATGTAACAAAGACACCTCCCAAACACAGGTCTCACTAGGCATGTGCTTGCTTTTCTTCTGTACTGAGGCCAGAAGCAGGTCGCCCAGGGCCTGCACCCTGTGGGTGTTCCATTATCCACCTTGAACAGACTCCCAGTCAGCAGGAAGGGGCAGGAGCTTGTGCCTACTCCTTTGAAGGGATGACCAGCTTTTGGTGACATCCCTGACCAGGTCATGCCCTGGTGCCAAGGGGGCCTGAGCCAGGGCCACGTGTCAAGTAGGAACTCAGGTCCGGTATTAACGGACATGGTTGGACGTGTCCATTCCTGTGGGCCCTGCCCTGGTCATTGGGAGAGGCAGGAATCTGTCGCTCTGGACTCTTGAGGGCCCTGGGTTATGGTTCCCTTCGATGGCGTTTCTCCCCTTGATGGGGCCTCGTGCCCTGCAGCCTTAACACACAGCATCCTCTTGAGGTGGTCCTGTTTCAGCCCAGAGCCAGCCTTCCTGTGAACTGGCTTGTCATTGTCCCTCTGAGAGCCATCTCTCAGCCAGCATCCTTCCTCCCTGGGTGTCCACAGGCCCCAGCCCCTCCTCAGCAGAGCCACCCCCCTTGTTAGTTCTGGTTATTACCGCACCGCCTAGTCTCCCTAACACCCCCATCCTCCGTTGCAGTCCTTCTCCGAAGATGAAGCTCCTCCAGGTTGTCTGCTAGGCCCTGCTTCTGCTGTCCTCACCTTCCCACCCCAACACACTTATCTGCACATCCTGGGGGCCCCAGGCTTAGGGGGAACCTACCTCCAGACCTAGGGTACTCAGTCCCTTTCATTCCTCTTCCTCTTCAGGAATGCAGTTTGTTCTACTCCAAGAGGTTCTGCCTCCCTTGTGTCCGGGAGAACATTGATGCTTTTCCTCGCGAGATCCAGCGAGACGTGGAGAAGAGGAAAATGCCGGCCAAGATGCCCTGCAGCAAGCCCAGATCTCCGACCTGAGGGCAGTGGGGCCAGGCTGCTGCTGAGTGGAGGCCGCAGTGCCTTGCGGCTCCTGGGCTGTGTCTGCAGTGGTGGGCAGCCTTCTCACCAGTCCGGCCTTTCTGGCGGCAAGGTCTCTGGAGCCCCAGGTGTGGCTGGCCCTTAGGCCCAGAAAACAGAAAGTATGGGTGCTGTGCTAGTCCTCCCTCTCTGGGGTTGCAGCTTGGCTTCCAGGCCTGTGGCTCACCTGCCAACCCCTTGCTCCTCCCTTCATGCTCACTCAGCAAATCCAGGCCTCCCTCCCCTCCTGTCCTGCCCTGCTGGCTACAAGACTCAGCCGTCAGAGACAGAGGGTCCTGTCTGGGAGCAACTGAGATGGCACAAAGGTGGGACCAGTTCACCCAGAGGGAGCCTGAGGGCACTGGGGGGAACAGGGAAGATGTTCGAGTTGCAGTGAGGGCCATGGGAGACAGTGGGGAAACGTTGGAGTTGCATCGAGGGTGGCAGGACAGAAACGACCCTGGGGTGTGTCCCTAAGGACAGCCTGACAGTGCCTGCACCTCTGGAGTGAGGCAAGACCTACAGGAGTAGAACTTGTACTTGACGTTCTTGTGGAGTGCTTGAAAATGCTGTTAACCTTGAGTATGTATTCTACTTATGATTAAAAAAACAAAGAACTAGTCCGTTTTTGGAAAAGCAAAACTGAAACACAGACGTGCTGTTCTGCATGACGTCCTGGGCCCCACAGTGGACAGGTTGCGAGGGAAGCCGACCGCAGGCTTTCAGCCCTTTCTGTCCCCTCCTGCTAGCTCTAGCTATAGCTCCTACTACGGCTCCGGCTCCAGGCCGAACTCTCCTCACCTCACCCCCATGTCAGCCTGCCTTCTATTCCTTCTGCCCACATGCCCTGTGCTCTCCACGTGGGCTCCAGTTCACCATCCCCCACCCTCTCCCCCAGTTCACCATCCCCCACCGTCTCCCCAGCACCCAGTCTTCTCCTAATTTTCTCTGGTTTATCTAGCAGACCCAAGTCACCTCAGAGCAAGATTTGCCGTCACCTTTTGTCACATCGGACAGCCAGTGTCCAGGGCCTGGGAAGTGTAGAAGCAGTGCTAGCCGAGGGACGGAGGGAGGGAGGGATCTGACTTGGTGAGCAGGGGTCTGGATTTGGTTTTTAAATGCCTATGCTTTCAAGCTCCTGGATCTCTTCTGACCCTAACGGGAGTTCATGTCCAGGAGAGGTGGCCGAGGTGAGCTGTTGAGGCAGAGTGGACACCAGGGGATTTGTTTTGTTCCAAACCGTTCAACTCAGAAGCATAATAATAAAAATAAAGCATAACTTTAAACTCACTTGTCTTTTTAAAAATAGTTTATTTTTTAAACCATTAAGGCAAAACTGTACCCTGAAATTAACTTCACATTCATCAGTCTCACAACAGGACATTCAGGCTATAGAGCAATACATCAAGCCAGCTCAATTTCTTCATGGGAAAATGAGTATGACCTGAGATTTAAAAAGAATTAAAGTGACAGTATTTTATAGTCATTTTCTAGTAGCCTGGAACCACCTGGTCAGTGACCATGACTAGGACGATCTCATCGCCCTCCTAAGTGTGCCTGTTTCCTGGGGTGCTGGACACCTACCCAGACTCTGAGTGGAGAGAGGATGCCCAGTGATAGCCTGGAAAGCCCGAAGTGCTTTAAGGACAGTGAGGCATTCACGAATGCCAACGGTGACCACAGGTTAAGAAAGGGAGTTTTATTTCAGAAACTCTCCCTCCACGGTCCTAGCAGGCCCTCTTGCCGTGGGGCGTAGGCACTGTGGCAGTGTGGGTTCAGCGGGCCTTGCAGATGCACCCCTAGAAGCGTTTTTGCCATGATGTTAAGAACCACAACTACCTGCGGGCTCTGCCTCGTGTGTGCCTCAGGTGGTCTGCCCGGCACCAAAGCACTGCTGGCTGGCTGATTTCCATCAGACGTTTCAGGCGGCCAAAGTTCTTTGGCAATAACCCATAAGGATAAAGAGCAGACAGCTCTTCATCAACAGGAATCGATGGTCTTGAGCGAAACGCTGTGGTATGAGGTCCTTGACCTCTCTCACACCTGGCGTCTGAGAAGGCCTTGCTGGTGGGAATGAACACAACAATCCCTGGGGCTTTCTGAAGTATGGCAAAGGGGACAGACTTCATAGCAAGCACAGGTTCTGTGTGCTTCAGGAGAAACAAAACGCTCTGATGTGTGTGTGGGGGTTATAGTGCCTAAGAACCAGGCTTTTAGAGTACATCATCAATGAACACTGATTTCAAAGGAATCCCAAATGCTGTTTACTAGACGCATGATTGTAAATTAGTAAAATATATTAGGATATTGTTTAAAATCTCAAATCACAGTGTTTAAGATACAGCTATTAACAAAGTCCTTTTAAACATACATTGTAGAAAAAATAGTGTGATATGCAACATCAATACTGCAATCTTACCAGAAAGGTTATTAAGTGGTATTTTTTTTGAGGTACCTTTTTTTTTTTTTTTTAAAGGTATAAAAAGGAACAGACTGTTTAAAAGAGGATGCTTCACCCTTGGAAAGATCAGTTTCTCACTCATCTGGTGAAGCCTGATCCATCCTTGTGTTGAGGGGGGAGTTGAGGTCTGAGGGCCCCAAAAAAGTGCCCAGGAGGGTCCCGCTGAGCTCTGACTCTGCTCTCTTTTCCGAGGAGGCGGGCCCATGGTGTGCAGGCTTCAGACCGGCTTGCATACTGTCCTGGCAGTCAATGGTAGGAAAAAACCGTAGCTGCTGGCTGCAGGGGAAAGGGGTAGGAGAAGGGCTGTGGCTGGAGAATGATTCCCTTCTCTGGAGAAAACATGAGTGTTCTACATATATGACCCCAGCTAGCAAACATTTTAAAATAAGAAAGAAAGCTGACCAAGGCTTAATTTGCTGTCTATGATAGAAATGGATGTTATTTTTCACAAACAATACATTTAAAGCCGTGGGGCCACGGAGGTCCTTGATGTTAGCCGATGCTTCAACCAAGGCTTGGCATGGAACATGGGCATGGTTTTGCACTGTTCTATTTGGCAGAGGATGTAGTTGTGTATTTCAGTGGTACCACGTTATACAGCCCCTTGTCCCTCATAGAAAAAAACGTTCTTGGGGAGAGAGAAGAAGGCGATGATTCTGTTTCTCCTGCCTCAAATTGCTATTCTGAGAGGCAAATGGTCAGCTAGCTGACTGTCCTACTCCAGACCTGAGGTGGCCTCCAGAGGGTGTCCAGAGCTTGTTCTCTGAATAAGCAAGGCCATCCGGATGCCTTGTTTCTGATGAGCCTGCAGCCCACTCCACTGAAGTCAAGTTTAAGAACACACTGCATTCCACTAAACCCTGATGTCTGGTTAAGTACATTCAAGCTGACAATTTGTATGTAGAGTTGTTTTCAAAGAAAGGCAACACGTTTGCTGTATCCTGTGTCAGGTCCAAGTCACAGATGGTTCATTTTGTTAAATTTGATGAAACAGTACCCCTAAACACATCCAATCCAAGGGAGAACCTAGCCTTTGACGTTTGGCGCTGTAGCTTCCTGGACAATGGACTCTCAGTGAGGTGCCTGGCCTGAGTGAAGTGCAGAGAATCAGGATGCAGAATGCCCCGAGATGCTTTTACTGTGTGTGTGAGGTTGTTGGTTAGCGAGGCACAGTTGGCATAATTTGGGGCAGATGCTCTCTCTTAGGTAGTGCCTGAAGGTGAGCTCTGTTCTCTTGGGTGATCACCACGGCTTCTGTCTGGAAGGCAGACACTAAAACCAGAGACCTGGTTGCTCAGAATCCTGAGTCCCAGTGGAACTACTGCATGTCCAGCAGTCAGAAGAGCTGGGCCACGTTTACAATGACAAGAATAAGTACACAAAGTCTGACTGCAGAGCCTCCCATTGTGGGGCAGCGGGCACTTTAATATGTCCAAGTCCTTCCCTGGTTGTGGACGGTCTCATCTCCTGACCCCAACTGAATCTATGCTGCTGGCTGGACATAAAAAGGACGTCTTTTGAATAGTGGTTCCCCTTCCCCAAGGAAGTCAACATTAGGCAGATGTGCAAACTGCAGAGGATGGGCTAGCTCTTAGTGGCAAGGCCTCTCCACTGTCCCTCGTTCACCCTTTTCCCCAGCAGGAGCCAGACATCGGTCACCCAAGCTGTCAGTGACAGAATGCATGGTAGTGCGTTCCAAGGCGTCCAAAGCGCTGCTCTGGCGAGCTGGCCTTGAACTTTAAATGGGGGACGATTCCGTTCTTGCCTCCCCACAGGCCTGAGGACCAGAGGAGGTGAGTGGCGCTGTTATGTGTCACAGCAAGGGGCTGGACAGAGACACACGTCTCTCCTGGTGGGGTCTGCGTTTTGAAAGGCCACACAGGTTGCCTGTGGACCAAGTCAGCAACAACTGGAAGTTCTGGCCTCACCAGGTGAGTTCAGAACCTGTACCCACTGCTGTCAAGTTGGTTCCAATTCATAGTGACATTGGAGAACAGAGGAGTCCTGGGGTGGCACTGTGGATGAGCGCTGGACTCTAGCCTCAAGGTTGGTGGCTCAAACCTACCAGTTGCTGCTTGGAAACCGTATCCAGGGTCACTATGGGTCAGAATAGAATCGATGACACACAACAATGGGACAAAGGACAACTATCCCAGAGGGTTTCCAAGGCTGTCATAGTTGACCAAAGTCAACTGCCAAGTCTCTTCTCCCAGAGTGGCTGTGGGTTCCAACTGCAACCATTTGCTTAGCAGCCAAGGACTTAACTACTGCGCCACCTGGGCTCCTTTGAGACGTCCCATTGCCATGGAGCTGGTGCCAACACACAGTGACTGCAGAGGACAGAGTAGAACTGCCCCACAGGGTTGCCAAGATTGAAATCTTTACAGGAGCAGGTACCAGGTTGTTTCTGCCACAGAGCTGCTTGTGGGTTTGAACTGCTGACCTTTCAGTTAGCAGCTAAGTACTTAAAAGTCCCAGAACCCCCGATTCTCTGAGTGTAGATAGTGACCAGTGTGTGCTCCACTTCCTGGTGAGAAGGTGACTTGTGTGGACAAGGCTTCGGCTTTTAACAGTGCCCACGGCAGTAGCCACTGGGAACAAAACCAGTTGCTCAGCGACACCTCTCAGCTGCACCGAACAACAGATTCGACTCCTGCCTTCGGCTTTGGCTGCAAACAGCTCTTCAGAGGCTATTGTGTCCCGGAGCTGCCATCCCACCTCGTTTCAGGGAAGGACATCTGACTGGCTGTCACAGTGATTCACAGACTGACCCAGCTCTTTTCTGGATGACGGTGACCTACTGAGTCATTTCATACATGGAAATACTTCAACTTGTTCCCAATTCCTGGTACCTGCCGTGTCAACTGGCTGGTGTTTGCTGACTTACCGGACTCCTGATTGGATCTTAAAAAAACAAAAGTCAAAAAACACAAGCAACCCCACAAACTGTGTCATTATAACCGTGTCATAAACGAGCCCTTTTTATCTAGCTGAAGTCCCATGGTTTTCCATTGTCGCGTCTCCTGTCACATTTTCAGAATGCTCGTCTTGGGGACTGTAGTCAATATCAGCCCATTCATTCTTCAACAGAAAATCACAATGATCTGACAAGAGTCAAACATTCAGAAGACAGACAGGCAGGGATGCAGGCGCACACCCAGGTGGAAGGACGTGGGGTCAGGGAGGTGCCTAGTGGCCGCAAGAAGGCAGAGGGGCAGCTGGGCCTGATCTGGCCTTGAGGTATGTGTTGAGAATTCTCAGAAGGTACAGTGATGGCTTGGCAGTGCGAGGCTGTGCAGAGCCCTGGCGTTTTTAGCTTACCACCACAGGGCACATCTAAGTGGACTGAGGTTTAGAAGTCGATCTTGAAGGCTCACACAAGTAACTCAGACGTGAGGAAAACGGCCTTATCTTTAGTCTGAGAGGGAGTGCTCACATTCTAAATCTTTGAAAATTCTCCGGCTGCCATAGGATTGGAGACAAAATGACCATCGGGAGGAAGGATAGTGTCCTCACTTGCTTGGTACCCCATGTGAGGGAGCCTGCTCTGTCACTGAGACGTCAAAAAATATATTTAAAGCTTCCTATTTTAAAAACCAACACCGGAAAAGACAAAGGAAACCCATTAGTTGGTTGACCTCCAATGAAACCGGTGTGCACAAAGAGTCGCTGGGTTTGGATTTGTAAGAAATGAGAGGAGAGGAACAGGGACGGACATGCTTTCAGAGCCGACGGTCAAGTCTGGGGGTGGGCGTGAAGGTGGGGTGAGGAGGGTCTTGAGATTGTGTTCTGAGACCTTTGACACACATCTGGAAATAAGACTTTTCCACATATCAGTTACCAGCACAAACACAAACCCAAAGAAACTAAACTGGTATCATGGAGCTGACTCGGGCTGGAGGGCAGAGTAGAACTGCCTCATGGGGTTTCTGAGGCAGTAAATCTTTATGGACAGCAACTGCCACATGGTCCTCCCTTGGAGCAGCTGGTGAGTTCGAACTGCAGACCTTAATGTTGGGCAGCCAAGCACTTAATCACTGTGCCACCAGACCTCCTCAACCATGAACACAGAGAAGACAAAACCAATGCTGCATTTTGATAGCCTATCCAATAATCCTTTAACATTTTAAATCCTATGATTGAAAAACAGCAGGTCAGGACACAGAATTGAAAGTCCTCCAAAATAAATTACGTGGCTGCTTTTTAAATACCTATTAGAAGCCTTTGGATACATCTAGATTGATACGATTCTAAGAGCAGTTCAAAAAGTGCTGATCAGTTTTCATAATGACAAAGGAGTTCAACAGTTAAAAGGGGGCGGTGGGCGGCGCGTAGAAAGGGCAGGCAGGTTCAGTGAATTTAACGGTAAGTTACTAATGGGTAGAAAGAAACCTGCCGGCGTGAACTGCGTGAACGTCATGCCGTGCGTGGAAATCAGATTGCTCAACACCATCCTCCTTAATTTTCCAATTCCTGACTATCAGCCACGGATCAGCAGGAAGGCTGTGAAGGCTCTTCGATGAGCTGGGGAACACCGGAAAGAAACGTGGAACGGCATTAAGCTTACCGAGGACGCCGCCTTCTGTCTCTGAGTGAAGAGGCACGTGTTTGTGCAAAGTCTCCGATTTCCGCCTGTAATGCCGACCACTTTAAGTCTCCTCCAAGGGCCCGTCTTCCTCGTGGATCTCTAAGCCCTCAGTACATGTCCCTGTAGATTTCCTGCAGCAGCGGGTGTAGGGCCGCGTCGGACTCCGTCCTTTTGATGACCTGCACAAGCTGCGCATGCTCCGTGACGAGCTGACGCAGGTCGGCCATCTTTTGGAGCAGTTTGGGGAAGAGGAAGTTGTCATCTGGGTGGTTGCTTTGCAAGTGGAGCTTGAGCACGTGCACAATGCCCTCCTGCATTTTTTCAATGTGCTCTACGTTTAAAAGGCCCGGGCGATCTGTTCTCAACAGAAACAAAAGGCGAGGTCTGAGTGTGACAATGACCACATGGGCAGGTCCCTACTATGTGTTTACCAGATTGAAGAAGGAAACACTTCTTTGAGGTCCTGCACCATGTTCACAACCTTGTTACACTGGAGCTCACTGCTGCTCAGTGGTAAATCCTAACTTCTATACCTGTGGCTATGATCCCATTGAGAATGGGGTTGCTATGACTTTGTCCTGCAATGAAGCAGAATTAGTGTAGGCTGTGTTTTGAGCCAATCTCTTCTGAGCCAGAAACGAGAATAAACAAACAAGCTAAGAAACAGAGATGGGAGAAAAGAGACGCCACATCACATGGATATCGGCCATGAACAGAAGTTCAAAGCCCAAACCTTCAATTCAGACTTTCTACCCCCCCTTTTTTGTTCTGCTGTGCATAAGGTCGTTCTAAGTCGGTACCGACTCGATGGCACCTAACAACAACAATAACAAACTCTAATAGGAGTCCTGGTGTGGCACTGTGGATGCATGAGCCAGACTGCAAAGCCGTTTGAACTACAAGGTCGGCGGTTCAAGCTCACCAGCTGCTCCTCAACAGGATCACTATGGGTTGGAACCAGCTCAACAGCACTTAACAACAACAAACTGTAATAAGGAAGATCGTAGAAGAATTGATGCCTTTGAGTTATGATGTTGGAGGAGAATATTGAAAGTGCCATGGACTGCCAAAAGAACCAACAGATCTGTGTTGGAAGAAGTCAAACAGAGGGCTCCTTGGAGGCCAGGATGGTCAAACTTTGTTTCTCACACTTCGGACATATTGTCAGGAAGACCAGTCACTAGAGAAGGGGATCGTGTTTGCTAAGGTGGAGGGTCAGAGAAAAGGAGGAAGACCCCCAGTGAGATGGACTGGCCAAGTGGCAGCATCAACAGGCTCAAGTGTGGCAACAGTTGTGAGGTTGGCCCACGACAGGGCAGGGTTTTGTTCTGCTGTGCACAGGGTTGCTATGCGTCAGTGTTGACTCGATGGCACCTAACAACAAACTCTAAGAAAATAAATTCATTTGTAAAATAAAACCATCCATTTGAGGTATATCTTTATAGCAGCACTAGGGGGCCTGGTGTGGCGCTGTACGATAAGCACTGGACTGCTAACCATCTGCCCCTTGGAAACCCTATACTAGGTCACTATGAGTGTGAACCGACTTCACAGCACTTAACCACAGAGAACCAAGTCATAAGTTTTAACCACCAATGCTTCCTGTTTTACACAGCCTTTCTTACAAAAAGGTTGCTGGCTGGCCCCTACAGTTTGCTGTAAGTCACGAACCTAAATGTTTGTTATTCAAATCCGCCCAGCAGTGCAGCGGAAGAAAGGCCTGGTGATCTGTTGTTGTGAGTTGCTGTTGTGTTGATTCTGACTCATGACAACCCCACGTGTGCAGAGCAGTAACTAACTGCTTCACAGCGTTTTCAAGGTTGTGGTCTTTCGGAAGTAGCTCACCAGGCCCGTTGTCTCCTGGGAAGGTTTGAACCACCAACCTTTTGGCTAGTAGTTGAACACATTCCCATTTGTGTCACGCATGAAAACAACACGGAGCAGTTCTCCTCCGCAACATGAGCCATGACTGGGAACCGATGTGACCGCAACGAGCGTGGTTTTGGTTCTGCCTTATCAAACACACGTCTAGCGCTTTTACAGAGAGTCAATCTGACTGCAATGCCAGAAACAGACATTTCCAGGGTTGCTATGTCTCACAGAGCAGACGGGACTGATGTTCGTGCCTAAACCTTTCTATTCTACTCACTCACAGTGTCACCTGAAACTGACCACGCGACAGCGCTGACCCATCCTTTTGCATTTCTCTGGTTACCACCCACAGGTGAAACCCTCCACTCTCCAAAGACATCAGAAGACCCTGGGACCATCGATGGAGAAGAGCGAAGAGTGGAATCCTACCCAGAGAGGCAGTGAGGCCTGGGGTGGAGGCAGAGAAGACAACGTCAAGAGATGAGGGGGCTGGGGGCTCGGGATCAGGAGATGGAAAGGGGCTGAGGACTGTGGTGGGGGGTGGGGGTGCAGGCTTACAGGGTACACCCCTTGGTTGGGTGAGGATGCAGGGACAGGATGATAACTATGCCAATGAAATGATGGATGATGGAATGAATGTAAAGCTGATGTTCTCCCATGTAGACTATCACGCAATTCACAATAAAACACTAAAAAAAAAAAAAAAGATATCAGAAGGAATTCTATGTTCTGGAAATGATCAGTGAAGTTCTTCCTCCTGAGTCAAAGCTACATCCGGGAGCCTTGTTTTCCACCCATACTTAAGAGGTGCTATTCAAGGTCACCAGCTGCTCCTCGGAAACCCTATACAGGGTCACTATGGGTCAGAATTGACTCGAAAGCACTTAACAACAACAACAAATGATATATCAAAGGCGCTCTGGTAGCGTAGTAGTTACGAATCGAGCTGTGAATCTCAAGATCAGCAGTTTGAAACTACCAGCCACTCTGCAGGAAAAAGATGAGGCTTTCTGCTCCCGTAAAGATTTTCAGCCTTGGAAACCCTGTACAGGGTCGCTATGAGTCAGAGCTGACTTGAGGGCACTTACCAATAACAACTCACCACATGGTTGTTAACATATAAAAGGCCTCAAAGTTGGTGGAAAAATGCCATTATCTTTTGAGCCCCCACCCTCTTGTGTAGATACACATGTATGTACGTATAAGGAGATTTGGTGGTGCAAAGGTTAAGTGGTTGGCTGCTAACTGAAAAGTTGGTGGTTCAAACCCACCCAAGGCTTTGTGGGGCAAAATGAGCTGCTTCTGTAAAGATTTATAACCCAGGACACCCTACGGGGCAGTTCTCCTCTGTCCTGCAGCATTGCTCTCAGTTGGGGTCCCTTAGATGGCCCTAACAACAGCCTATGTAAGGAAAGGCATATTTTGGTGAGTGCTGTGGAGTTACTTCTGACTCAAAAGAAACCTGCATAGGGTTTCCAAGGAGCAGCTGGTGGGTTTGAACCACTGACTTCGCAGCTAGCCGTCCAGTGCTTATCCTACAGCACCAGGATAGAATATATAGATTTATTGTTGTTGTTGTTAAATACTGTCGAGTGGGTTCCGACCCATAGTGACCCTGTAGAGGATTTCCAAGGAGCAGCTGGTAAGCTTGAACCACCAACCTTGTAGTTCAAACGACTTTGCAGTCTGACACATTAAACCACAGCGCCACACCAGTGCACAGTTTGTTGTTGTTGTTAAACACCGTGGAGTCGGTTCTGACTCATAGCAACCCTTCACAGTTTCCGAGGCTGCAAATCTTTATGGGAGCAGAAAGCCTCCTCTTTCCCCCATGGAACAGCTGGGAGTTTGGAACCGCCGACTTTGAGGTTAGCAACCCGATTCGTAACCACTACGCAACGCTACCAGAGCTCCATACTCACACACACACACACAATACTATATAGGAAGTGGCTTCAGAAAGTCAGTGGAAAAATTCCATTACCTCTGAAATCCATTTTTACATGAACTTTTGAAACCCCATCGTATATATCATCGAGATGGCGAGGCGCTGTGGCTGCAACAATGGACCTGAGCTACAGTTGTAAGGATGGTGCAGGCCAGGGCAGCAAGTCTGTCTGTCATACACAGCGTTGTAGCTACGAGTCAGAATTGACTCGGCAGCGCCTAACAACATCACACACACACGGTGGTTTCTCTTGAGGACTGCTGGTGGCTCTGTAGGAGAAGCAGCACTGGACTGCTAACGACAAGGTCAGCAGTTCAAACCCACCAGCTGCTCTGAAGGAGAAAGATGAAGGTTACCGGTCTTGTAAAGATTTACAGCCTTGCTTGTTGTTGTTAGGTGCTGAGTAAGTACCGACCCATAGTGACCTTATGCACAGCAGAATGAAACACTGCCCGATCCTGGGCCAACCTCACTACTGTTGCCACACTGGAGCCCACTGATGCTGCCACTTGGCCAATCCATCTCGTTGGGGGTCTTCCTCTCTTTCTCTGACCCTCTACCTTACCAAACATGATATCCCTCTCCAGTGACTGGTCCCTCCTGACAATATGTCCAAAGTATGAGAGACGAAGTCTGGCCATCCTGGCCTCCAATGAGCACTCTGGCTGCACTTCTTCCGACACAGATCTACTGGTTCTTTTGGCAGCCCATGGCACTTTCAATATTCTCCTCCAACACCATAACTCAACAGCATCAGTCCTTCTACGGTCTTCCTTAGTCACTGTCCTATATGGGGGTCTCTGTGAGTTAGAGTCGATTTGATGGCAGTTTGGTTTGATATAGTTTCTTTTACAAAAATGGGATATTCTATATAAATAATTGCACAACTGCTCACAACACCTCGCCTTGGGGTGTCTGACAGGCAGTGATAAAGGCACGGCTGGTATGACATTTTATACTGTATACTGTAACCTAAGTGCTCCCTCTGGCTAACTCGAGTCCTACTGGACAGCAGCAGGGACAGTGCCGGCTGCCCTGGCCAGATCCCCTCCCGGTGTCCGGGAGGCCGTCGGCAGCCTCCATCTCGACTCATGTCAAGATGTGACAGCAGGAGTGGCGTGCCTTCTGGCAGCAGGGTGGCGTGGCTGCCCAGCCAGTCTCAGTCAAGGCGGGACAAGGTCAGCTGAGTTCACAGTAGAGGGATGACCTTCCCAGACCCGGGACAGGGCTATTTAGAGGAATGTGTCACCAAGCCACAACTCTTCCCTGCAGGGAAGCTGATTCTCCTTCATGGCGTTTCGTTTCCTTGGCTGAAGCAATCGCCCCTAGTCACTGCCAGTTGGACACTAGCTAACATTTTTCACGATGAAACAGCGTGAACACATGAAGAAGGACACTCACTCTCCTAATACCTGTCTGGACCTGTGTAGAATACGGCCGCGGACTAGGGATCACTGAGTTCTGGGCAGCGGTCACACGGTGAGCCTACCCATGCTCACACAGCTGGCTCCCGCTCCAGCTGACATGGCCCTGGAGTTACACCACAGATGTCCTCTAAGGGATGGGGTCTGAGCAGACTGCGCTGACAACTTACCCCCACAGCAGATGATAGCAGCCACGAAGAGGGAGATGTCACTGTCGTCCAGCTCGAGGGCGTTGAACTTCATTGCAAAATCAAACTTGGGCTCCATGATGTCACAGAAGGGTTTCCTTAAGCTCTTGAGGAATTCTCGAGTTATAAATCCATTCCCGTATGCAACCAGCATCCCATCTTTGTTCATCACAGAAGACAGCATTGCAAATATGGCCTCGTAGACACCGTACTTTAACAAAGTCACTTGATCGTTCAAGTCTAAGTTGGCGAAGCCCGGGATGGACTTGGCGAACTCGGTGAGCTCCGTGACGGTCTCCACCGATGTGTACTGGCAACAATGGAAGATGCGGACCTCTGCCTCCTTGTTCTGGATGCCATTGGCCACCAGCTTAGCCACCACCGTCTTCTCAGCCATGCACAGCGTCTCCATGTCATGTATGACGAAAGGCTGCAAGGACAGATGCTGGACTAAGTCAGAGGATTCGTGACAAGCGACACTGTTAACTAGCAACCAATTAATGAGCACACTGTAGCCAAGTGGCCAAGGGTGGCGCTGAGAACTGAGAATGAGAGCTACCACAGTCCTTAGACCACTTTATAGTCAGACGGGGACAACTGGACATTCATGACAACTCAACAACGTAAAACAGTAAGATAACTATCGCTGTTGTCTCACATTGGGTAGGGGTTCCACTGCTAAGAAACTCATGTACCAATGCTGGCAGTGAAGCCAACAAAAGAAGATTTTGTTTGAAGCCAAGTCCCTTCAGGGCAAACCCCCTTCCAAGACTGAAACTCAAAAGGAATGCACGAGCAGGCATGGAATCTTGCTGGCGACCACGTTGGTCTACCAATGAGGGAAGTGGGGGAAAAGCAGCAATGGAGAAACGGGTCGAGTTCAACCATGTTCACTAGACTGCCGTCAACCTGCAGTGAGACCTTGTTGGCCAGCAGTGTGAAGAGACTTGGGAACTCCTGAGCCCATGGACAGGAACATGGCTACAGAGGGCTAGAGCGGAGAATGAAGCGTCCAGCTGTTATGAAGTGAGGGGAGATGCATACAAACGCACTTGCAGATAGTATCCATCTGACCTAGCTTCGATAGCTGGATGACCAGAACTTGACTAAAGGAATAAAGAAGAGGAAAAAAAAGTGTAATCTGCTATAATCTGATGAACTTGACCTATACTTATGGATGTAGTAGTTTAAAAGAGGGAAGGAATCTTCACAGCAAGGATCATTCCCACCCCCTCTATACACAGCGTTGATAGGGATGGGCAACTTAGACATTGGCTACCTAAAATGGAGGTGCTGGGTGCTATAAAGGCATGAAGTGACTGGCTTACAAGTTTTCAAGAGGAAGTTTAGTTTCAGAGGGTGTGGGGGAAGGTAGAATCTCCACTGAGTGGTTTTCAACCTGACTAGACAGGGCTGGTGAAAGGAGACGGGGATAAGACTTTTGAGGTTGAAGAGTAAGTCATTGTTATCAGGACTGATTGTGATTGTTATAAATATAAAGGTACACGTTCGGTGACCAAAAAAGGGGAGTGGCTGATCTTTCAGTCCAGGAGCAGAGGACCCTGGGACCATCAAGGGAGAAGAGCAGAGTGCAGGACCCTATCCAGAGAAGCAGCAATACCAGAGATCGCCAGAGATGGAGGCAGAGATGACAACATGGAGCGATGGAGAGGCTGGGGACTCTAGACTCATGGAGGGAGAAGGGGCTGTGTGCTGGTGGCCGGGGGGCTGGCTTGCAGGGTGTGCCCTTTGGTTGTTTGAGTGATTGTATATTCCTGAGTGTTTTGGTGTACATAAAAAAAAACAAAAAAAACCCAGAGGGAATAGAAGCAAATGCTGTTGAGTGATGATGCATGGAGGGGATTGTAATCATTGCAATGAAATGAAATACGATAGGATGAGTGTAAAGCTGATGTTCTCCCACGTAAACTAACACTCAATGCACAATAAAAGCGTAAAAAACAAAAGATTACCAAAGCCCCTTTAACATTTTATAATATTCTCTGAATTCCCAATTATTAGTAGTATCACCGTATGAGCACCCTACAGAGCCCCACCAGGACGCCAGGACTCCATTATAATAACCTACTGACAATCAGTCTTAATTTTGCCACCTTAGGCACTTTAGCCTTCATTGTTTAACACGGTTGGGAGGACAAGTCTGGCATATCCATGTTATGTCCCCAAAGTGGCGTGCAAGTGGAAAGCAGCAAGCAAGCACTGATAAACTCTTGCACTTTGGGGGTACACTGGAAAGCTTTGAAGGACCCTTTTCTGTGCACAAGGCCGAACCCCTTCCATCAGTGCCCCATGTCTTGGTACAGGCGCCGAGTCCCAGTGTGTTGTTGGACCTTCTCTCTGTGCCTGAATGCTGTGGTCCTGCCATCTCAGAAAGGTCCAGTGGTGGAAAGAAGAGAGGGCAGGCCATGCTGTTTGGAACCAGCATGTCCAGAAGGAAAAATTACATGCCTGGTGATGGGCATGAAGACAGCTGCTGGTCAAACTTTACATCTCTGTGTAGCGTAGAAGAAATGAAACATCCCTGAATTCACAAGCTGTTTTCCCAGTGTTGAATCACAGCGACCCCAGGTGACAGAACTGCCCCTAGGGTTTTCTAGGTTAAGTGGGTTTGAACCACTGACCTAGTGATTTGCAGCTGAGCACTTAACTGTTGGCACACCAGAGCTCCTAAGCTGTTTGATAACAAACAACCAATAGAAACCCTTGAGTCAATTCCAACTCAGAGAGAACTCCCACCGAAAGGGTTTCTAAGGCTTTATATCTTCACAGAAGTATGGTGCTCTATCATTCTCCTGTGATCAGTCGGCTGGTGGGTTCGAACCGCCAATCTGCCAGTTAGCAGCCGAGTGCCTAGGCAATACTCCACACCGAGCCTCCTACTGCTGTTCTATGCTGTTACCACTGTTAAGTGCTGTTGAGTTGGTTTCAACTCATGGTGACCAAGGAGCGGCTGGTTGAGTTTGAACCACCAACTTTGGGGTTAGCTGCAGTCCAGTGCTTATCCTGTAGCACCACACCAGAACACATGCAAATACAGACTAATAAGGTAATGGGTTAGGGCGTGCTTTCAATCCCGACGGAAGCCCACAAGCCCAGAGTGCAGGAGCGCCCAGTGGTTTTAAGCATTGCTCTGCCATGAACACAGACCTCACTCACTGTCCACGGGTCTACACCTCAGACATGAAGCATCCCCTCTTTGGGGCGCCGGTCAGCACTCAGAGAATTCACAAGACACAGTGACATTTCAAGGCACCTCTGGGGAGGTGTCTTAATTGTTGTTGTTAAGTGCCACTGAGTCAGTTCTGACTCATAGAGACCCTGTATAGGGTTTCTGAGGGGTGGCTGGTGGCTTTGAACCAATGACCTTGTGCTTCAAACTGACCTTGCAGTCTAGTTCATTATCCAGCAGCACCACAAACTCTCTCTCTCTAGATCTCAAAAATGGGCCAAATGATCAAATCTGGGTGGGGGCAGCTCTGCTTGAGGGTACAAGAATGAACTGAGAAACCCAATCAAACCCAACAGCCTTCTGAGTATGTGAGTAGCTCCTTCCAGACTGGACTCTCCCACAGATTACAACTCTAAACCCTGGACGGGAGCAAGAATCCAACAACTGAAGAGTGAACACAACAGAAGGAATCTGGAGCGAGTCAATGTTGAGAGGAGCGAGGAAGCCAGGGCTGAGTGTCCCACCTTCACAGCTTTTAGCAGGAGAGTCGGAAAACCTGCAGGCCTGATAGGCCTATGATGGACCAGTGCTTGGAACAATCACAGCCACTGGGATGTGTGGGAGCCCGAGAGGGGAGCTCCATCCTTTCCTTATGTGGAGGCTCTGCCTAAGTGTCAAACCCTGAACCAAAGCAAACATGGGTCTGGGTCGAAGCAGTCCAGCCGGCACTGAATCTGAGCTGAATTTGAACTTCCTTCCATACAGGAAGGAGGAGGTTAGGCTCAAGTCCAACCAAAGGGATTGCTGCTACAACAAAACAAACACAAACCAGCCCTCTCCACAGGAACATACCCAAATCCAGAGTCTCCACAATACAGCCTTTACAATGTTCAGGGTACAACCCAAAACTCTTCCACAAATGAAGAACCAGAAAAGGATCCTTTTTGAGAAGCTACAGCCATCAACAGAGGCCACCATCAAAATGACTAGATGTTGGATGTCGTGGGTGGGGTCTCCAAGCAGGACAGAGACAAAGAAAATGACTCCTAAGCCCATCTTGGTTCAACTGCTGAAATCCAAAATCAAAGAGAGAATCTTGAAAACAGGCAGAAAAAAGACATTAAATTAAAGGGAAGACAAATGATGTTTGATCAGAAACTACACATGGTGGAAGATCGTGGAATAACATCTATAAAGGAGGAGAAATTGTCATATCCGAATTCTATATCCACTGAAAATACTCTTCAAGAATTAAGACAAAAAAGTAGAGGACAATAAATGCTGGCGGGGATATGGAGAGACTGGGACCCTCCTACACTGCTGGTGGGATTGCAAAATGGTCCAACTTCTCTGGAAAGCAATATGGAGTTTCCTCAGAAGGTTGGAAATAGAAATACCTTATGATC